TGATTGTACATGTTATTCAAACAGCAGATTTAGCAAATATTAATTATATAAAAGTTGAACAGAATATTTAATAATTCACAATACTTAGTTATATTTTCGAGTACGCAAATTGATTACGCATATTTATATTATATGTAAAATGGGAAAGTACCATAGTAAAGAAACTAAGGAATTTGACAGCCAGGTAGAGATGTTACAATCGCAGAATCAAATCATACACGAGGACAACAATAGAACGCTTTTTATCTGCTGCATAGTAATTGGAATTTTGGGAGTCATAATTCTATATATACTGTTGAACCGCTGTCGTGGTCACTTCAAATCCTACATACAAAAAGAAATAGCAGCCGCGGATTTAAAATCAAACAGAGTACAGAATGCTGTTGTGTAATTAGAGTTCATAATGTATCCGGTCAACATTCGTAAAAAATCCTTATCGAAGACTATGTGTAATAAGAATCCAGTGTCGAATTCCGGTGTCAGCATACAATGAATATTGTTTAAATGTTTGTTAGTAAGAATAAGTTGTACCGATTTGAAATAAGATTTGTAATGTGTTTATTTCACAGATTTATTTTATTTTTTTTGAAAATTTAGTTTGTAAAATTTTGAGGGGGAGTATTGTAGGTGTGCTATGCACACACACATACATATTGTTAATACAGAGATTGAATTACATCGCGCGGCACAGCGCACCTACTACACGTCCCTCCCCAGTCAGATATACGATGTAGTCCCGTATCGCCGCATTACAATCGTGATAAAATATAAATGTATTTTCATTTGGTAAAGCTCATGACACCACACCAGAACACGCGATATATATGGATAGGAGAACCTTCCATTCATAGTACATAAGTGATATCACAGACCTGTGAAATTTCCTATAGTTTTCAAGAATAAGCAACGCATGAGATGTTCCACAGAGTATTCATGTGACGACGTAATTTTATTAGTGATCTTATGTAGGTGACCGACAGCAAGAATGAACATGACATAAACAGCGCTGAATGTACATTACCTGATTTGTCATAATATAGATTACCCCCGTTCGATCTAGTAATTAACCGATTGATCTAAATTGGTTTGACACAAATTTAATTGAGTTCTTCTTACACAATATATTTGTAGTAATTAAACATAATTGGAATCATATGTTCTGAACTTGATTGAAAATTTATAGCTCAGGATTTTTCTTTTTGCTTCTTCTGATTATGATAAGTCGATTTGCATGTGTACCCAGACTATACAAAAAATATTAATTCTAAAGCATCTTTTTCTGTCCGTCTGACTGTTTGATACCTTATCACATATAATCGAGAGAACGGAAATTATGGCACGATAACCGATACATATACATATCAAGATCGGACATAAGTTATCTTCACCTTAAAAAAATGAAAACATAGTTTCCAGGAACAGCTATTGTCATGATGTGTGACCACCAAACACCAAGCCAGATCAGAACAGCAATAATTTCCAAAAATAAATAATATCTACCTTATTTATATATCAAGTCATCAAATAAGAGAATGTGTAAGCCTTGCATACTCTAATATGCGTGGGTATAAAATTAATGGAGACATTATAAACTGCATAAACTAGTTATTAAGAACCAAAACAGTTGCAGTATATTATAGTGCGACATAATAAATCGGACAACATAATATTCACAAATATGCCCCAATATTTTTTTTTATTCGATGATAATGGAACTGTTTATTCTCTATGTACTAGTGTATTAGCCTGTGTGTGGATATATTAAAACTTTTTTTAAATTCTTGTAAAATACTCTTTCGAAACCGCAACCGAGTGTCGTTAGTTTTCAATATTTATATACTATACCTAACATATTTTATTGAAATTTTATTATGCTTTAAAGTAGATATTATTCAAAGTAAAATATTTTTTTTGTATTTTCTGTTACAAATTATTTATTAATGTATAACATGACCTACTTTTCTCATTTAAGTTCAATGTATTCTGTAACTACTATGTATAACTAACTTTAGTTATGACCAGTTGCCATGATTATGCACTAATGACTTGTAACACCTAAAGAGATAACTTAAATGTTCCTAATTGTATTTCTATTTTAAAGTAATATATAATTTACATAAACATTAGTTTTGAGATTTGAACACATAATAAATTTATATTTTTTTTAATCAATTATAAGGTAGAAACATCACTATCAATCTTTTAATTAATTCATAGTAGCTATATTTATATGTATGGAACAATATTTTACGATGGAAATCTCAAATGGGGTATTATCATTCATTAAGTATTCGGTACTTTGCCATTACGTACATACCTATATCAATTATATATCTGCGTTTGTTTTAATTAGTAATAATTGCATAATTTAAACTTCGAATTATGCGATTAACACAATTATTAATTGCGTATTTTATAATGTCTCTCTAATTTTTATTGGGTGCCTTATTGTAGTATTAATTTACATTCTTAGAACATTGCAACATGGACATTTCATTGATGTAAATATAAATTTATACGACTTTCTGCGTTATTATTTGCTATTTGGAGAGTGCCTCATCCAACTATAACATGATGTACATATCTCTTTAATTACATAATATGTGAGACGTTAAGTAGTTAGTGTATTAAGACTTTAAATGTTTTTGTACGTTATTTGTAATTGTGTACCTACATAATGTTTTATACTTGGGGTCTGATTAGGCAATGAGAGTAATAGTATTCTTTGCTCATACATAACCATTAGAAATGTTTATTTATTCTATTTTGATCCACACCTGTCTATTGGTTTGCATACCGAGTAACACAACAACACAACTTTGATTTGAATGTCCTTTTCAAACTAAGGGTATCTACGATTACGATGGGATAACTATATACATATTTATGTACCATATATAGTTACCCGATCATAGAAACCCATCTTAAAATGATTTTTCTTATTATTATTATTCTATTCTTAATATTTCAAAAATGTGTTCAAGAATAGAAATAGAATAAATATCTCAGAAAACAGTCCTGAATTTCTAGCAGTATTCTTAATAAAATAAGAAAAAACCTGATCTTTGTCGATATTTATGCTGCAATAATTATTTTATTCCTTTCTAAAAATATCTGAACTCTTAAAAAAATCTGATTCTGATTCATGTGTATATAAATCAACGAATTATGCTCAACCCTTTTTAGGTATTCATAATCTCTTTTTTCCTTATTTAAATCTTGACCTGCCCTTCGTTTATTTTACCGAAGATACAACGAATGCAGTATACAATATGGCAGACTACAAAGGATGTCAAGGATTATGCGTATAATGAATAAACAGTGGGCAAATTTCCCATAAACATACTATTAATTCAGGTTGGTATTTAGCTACAATTATTTTTGCCCATGACACGGCTACTCATAGATACGTTACAAAGCATGAATCCATTATTCCACAGAATAAAACAGTGTGATGAATACTGTAAATATATGAATGACATTCATACATATTTTTAATGTATTAAGTTAATTTTCATAATATTATTAAACATTTTACAATTATTTCATAAATGAATTTTAATAAACAAATATAAAATCTCAAAGCCAATAGTTTTAATGTATTTCTGACGACATTTATTAATATGAAAAATACATACCTAACACCTCATTAATAGAGCAAAATCCACCTATTTTTTAATTTATCTAAATATAAATATTGTGTGCGCGGTGAGTATTTATATACTTTAAAACATTAATTATAAGGATACTAGTTATTGGATTATAATTTGGAAAATACAATAACGTACGTCAATAATAAGTCTATATAGACCATTAATATCAACATTAATAGCGTTTACAGACTCTACGTCAAACTTTAATATATCACTATCAACTTTAATATATACTCAAGTAAACGCGATTTCAACTTTTTATTGGAAATTTGAAATCCTTGAAGGCAGAATCTTCTAGAATTAACTACAATTTAATCTCCAAGTTTATCTATGGAAACGTGCCGCGCGTAATAAGGCGCGTGAATAGTTGAGTAGAGTCGTAACTGAGAAACAGTGTGCAGGCTACCAGTTACAAAAAGCTTCCTGCTTTGCCTTTATTTGTAATCTGCACCATGATCATATCTATAATACACATCGTGATCATGCTTAAACAATATATAATGCTATAAATTAGACCTCATATGTGTTACTATTTATTATTATTATAGCTACATGTAATAAAATAAAATATCTCTGTTATATGCGAGGTTTACGATTCTATTAAGAGCAATGAAAGCATTTCCTGCATACTGAACTTGTGAACAATATCTAATAAATACCACATGTAACAATTTATTGAAGTAAATAACTAGCTCTGAAAAAGATATTTATGGTAGATATTTAAGTATAAATTAATGCAATAATTACAATTAATAATAATTAATAACACATTTATTAAGTATGGCATTCAGAATAGGTAATGGACACAATCGGAACTCCAGAAACTGTTGAACTCCTAGGATCAGTACTCCGTTAAGAACGTCCCATCTGTTAGCCGTATTCACATCTATCAGAGAATTGTACACTCAATCAGATAAAAGTACAGTGACATGAGAAACCAGATAGCACAGATAGTTTGTACTTGCTCGAAGATATGCTTCAGCAGGACACTGAGTATCCGGATAAGGCATGCACAGACAGAATTAACTATAAATACAAAATGTACACGGACAATTATATCTCCCTTCATCACCGTATGATCTTTTAATATGTAGTGAACAGTGTCTATTAGTTAATTGCTCTCCGTTGTTATGAATTAAAGTACATGATTTATTATATCTGCATATTTATTTATAGGCACCCTTCACCTAGACACATGCAGGCGAAGCATATAATTTGATTGATACCTATACTTAAGGATGAATATCGACAACTACATAAAAAGGAAACAAGTTTTCTTATTTACATCGAAACAATAAGACGAAAAGAATAAGTACTATAAATATAATACTCAAAAAGATCACGTACCACTGTGAGCGCATCTGTAACTTCAAGTATTAATGTTAGCACACATAATATTGCACTTGACCACAAACTAGTCATTATTGAAAAATAAATATTAAAAAAAATAACGCGAATTTAGCGGGAAACGCGTTTGCCGCGACTGTCCAGTTGCATACAAAGGTAGTGAATACTGAATAGTAAAGCGAACGAGCGACCACTCGAACTCAGGAATTGTCCGAGCTGACGGCTGCAGATCGAGGTGGTGGGTAAGACCAGCTTCGTGACCTTGACCGTCAAGACTCACTGACTCACATACGCGTTCCCATTAAGAATTGATGGCAAAAAAATGTTAATGATCATTCTATTGTGTTTATAGCATTAGCCTTTAATTTTCACGTCATCGTACGGTCATTATTAATATTGACTACGATCTTGTTAATTAAAAAACATCACATAAAACCACATGCATATATTGTTACTTATGTTTATATAATTGTATGGAAAGTTTACTATTATTATAGCACTTTCCATCAACAAGATTGCTTGCCATTCTCCATAATTGACAAACGCCAACATTTAGTAATGAAAAATAACTTCAATCATGAGAAAAATAAACCACACGCTTATTGCAGGACTACCAACAGTCATGCTCATAAAATAATCTTAGGAAAAAATATCATTAGGTATAGTGTTCAACTTTTTTACCCAGGAATAGACTGAGTATGTAAGATACTAGTAGATTTTATGTAAGTGTAGTCATAAGTTTTGTGGAGCTACATTTCGGATGAGACTGACGAAAATAACGAAAATCTATCAGCGGAGAGTGAAGCAGTGTGTTAAAACAGTACCTATCACCGACGTATGAAAATGTACAAATTACATTGCTGAAGTCAGGTAATATAGATTTAACCGCCGAATTCGTTCCCCAATCAGTCCCCATAGGTAGAAATAGGTATATTGTTACTATTTTCACATTTAGTACACGTCCGTATTATTAATATAGTTAATGGAGTATTAACGGAAATATATTTATGGTAAAACGGTATTTAATTCTCTCTACGTTTCGACTACGCTGCACTATCCTTAATCACGAGCTGGCCAGATATGTTAAATTAATAGTTGTCAGCAGTTTATTCAACTACCGTCACTAGATTGTCCAACAAAACATTTTCGGTTCCTACTATATATGGTAGTTTTATTTTATGTAAAGAATTAAAATAAAAAACGAAGAAGATAGTATGTATATATGCAAAAACAATATGTTGATCTATGTGACGACTATTGCGTAGTTTTTTATGGATAATAATGGTATAATGCACCTGCTTGCGCCAACGCAGGCATACGTAGGTACATATAAATGTACTGGCGGCGTAACTAACTAGGGGCTAGGCGGGGCAGTGCCCCGGAGCGCTCAAGCTAAAGGGGCCCTCGAACTCAGAAAATCTCGATCAAACTGAACTTTTCAAAATTTCTCTCATTTTCAAAATAAATAGTAATTTTCAAAATTCAGTTGAAAGAAATTCGAAAGTTATACTTTCGGAATTCCCCTAAATTCTTTCTGTGGGTTAGCAGTGTTGTCAATTTGACGGATAGTGAAATGTGCCTTTTAATAAAACTGTAATGTACCCCTTTTTTTGCTCCAGGGCCCTTGGTTACCTAACTACGCCACTGGGTGGGACACCAGTGGAAAATGATTCTTGAAGTTACGTCAGTTAGACCACAAATAAGATAATTAATAAAAAAAATATTACATAGTTAGACCATCATGGTGTATTCGCCAGGAATTAACGATGATAGTTTCCAATGATAGCCACATTGACGTCGGCCTGACACTGTAAATTGTTAACAATGGAGCCAACACTTCCCATTATTAAAATATATATTACTAAATTATTTGTATTAATAAATATATATTTACCCACTGCGTTTGATCTGAATACGAGATAATTCAGTTGACATATATAAATTTCTGTATGACCTGAATTTTTTCGTTTCATAATGAACACCTAACTTAGACTAAGTTTTATATCTGGGTTGGTTACTTTGGATCGGCAATATCTTGATTAAGTACGACCACTACATCTATAGTCAGAATGCAACATTGCAATAAAGAAACGTAATAAAATGGGACTGGCTACTAAAAACAGATGGCGCCAACCTATTCCAATATCTATTTATTATTTTAATTAAATTGTCGCTTATAAAGTTACATTTTGAAATATTTTCTTTTACAATTTTTTTTAATTAGATTACATTTTTATTTTTATATAAAGCATGATTTGTGCTTAAAATTGTAAACGGCAACACTAACTGTCAAGTTAGTGTTGCCGTTTACGATTTCATTTAATGTTTTTCAGAGAAATCTGAAGTTCTCCTGAAGATAAATAATTGAAATAACCTCGTTTAAAAAGTTTATAATTACTTTAAATGAAAATATATGACCAAATTTCATAGTTTGTGTAAATGAAATGGCTCTAGATAATGAAGACGAGTTTACAGATTTCAAAGTATATTGAAACTATATTATTGTTTTGTTATACAAAATGTAATTTTCTTTTGGTTTTTAAATTAACTTAAAAATTTTATCAATATGTTTTAGTTGCCACCGATATTCGAAGATTTAAACGAACGTGTGAAAGAATATATTTTAAAACCTGAAAGACTCTCTATACACAAATGGGAGAGATCACAGACTCACTGGCACCGAAAGACTGATATAGATTCCTTATTTAAAATAGACGATGATGATTTTGGTCCAGACTCCACACTAGAGGTTTGAAATAGACTTATTCCGTACAACAATTTTTTTTACAATAGAATTGAAAGATATTTTTTTGCACCAGATATAGGACATACTTAAATAAAATAGGTTTATGTGAACTAACACAAAATCGGTTTTATCACAAACAAGCTTAGTTCTAAATAAAGTGTCAACTACAATATGTTACATACCACTATTGAATCAAACAAATTTATTTGAGGTAACAATTTATTTTCTCAATATTGTTTGATAAATTGAACAGAACTAATGATTAATGAATTCTATAAGTTATTAGGAGTTTAAGTTCATAAATTAATATTATTTATATTACTGTTTAGAATTAACATTACATTTAAAAAAATAATAATAAAGTATAGACAAAATATGTATTTTTAAGTAAAATAGTTTATGAAGTTATAACATGCTGAATGTGGAGTGATAAAATAAACATACAATATGGAACTGTTTAATATTGAATGAATCAATGTCATAAAACTTTTTTCTTATTACAAAGTAGGCATAATATAAATATATCTTAATATGTAATTTTAATAAAATTTATTCTTTTTATATCTTATTCAAGGTTGTGAGAGATCCTATAACAGGTGAAATCACTGGCTTGGATGAAATAAGTATACCTGTCGAAGATGATGAGGACAGTTTGTCTATGTCTCGGGCACCATTGCCCCCGAGCCTTGCTACCAGAGGTGCTACTACTCAGAGTCCATTTTTACCAGCTGGATTTGAAGAGGAACTTCAACATATGCTGAAAGAATCTGCAAATTTTGTAGATATTAATATTGATCTGGGCAATGATGTGTCTGGCAAGTTTTTAGGCGAAGGTATATAATTAAAATTTTTAATATACATATGATGTATTGAAACAAATTTTATATATTTTTTCAGGCATTAAATCTAGTATTTATATTGATGTAACAGTTAGTTAATTTACTATGATTATGTACTACTACTACAATGTGTTTATATTAGACTATACACAGAAACACAGATACAAACTAGTGAGTTTGAATATTACAAAGGCTTCTTTCAATATTATCAGTAATATTAGTAATATAGATTATGGGGTTTACACCTCTACACCGTCTCCGTCTCATCTACACCATCCCTCTTTGTAGGTGTTATAGTTAATATTTGGTTCATTTGCCATAATATAATTAGTAAGTTTACATCATGCTCATCCTAACATCCATACTAATATTCTCTGTTAGTGTAGGATAGGTATGCCACAGTATTATCACCCCTAATAATAAAACTGTAATCTATGAACATGAATAGCACTGGATATCACATAATACATTGTACCTGTGATATCTCTTATGCATTGCCATTCCTGAATTCTAAAATATTATACCTCCATACCCTATAATTAGTGATATGCTAATTACAGATTCTTAATTTATTATAATTATTATATGTAATTATGTTGTTTTGTTTTAGATTTGTTAACTATACCACCAGGCAGCAAGGAAGGTGTCCTATTTGGTGAGGATGGTGTCACAGTGCTGAACCAACCCAACAATGAAGCAGCTGAAAAAATTGAAAAGTCTGAAGTTATTGATATGCAAGTAAAAATAAATTTGGAAGAAGTAGTGGATAATAATGCACATTTAGTAGGTGTGTAAAATAATATAACAATATAATTTACATATCCACATACTGTCACAAACTCTCAAATACTATCACAAGTAAAAAAAATTAACAAAGTGAATTTATTGAATAAAATATGTACATGGCACTATTGGTGCTGGTAAGGTATGATTAAATTTGAAACGAAGAACATTTAGAAGAAGTTAAAATATCCTATTATTAAGTTCTCAGGATCTAAGGACAGATATTCAATTATATATATTTTGTATAATAATGTAAAAAAATATGTTAACATTTCCAGGTCTCTGGAAAGATGATGATGAACCACAAATTCAAAAACAAAAGCCTGCAAATAAAATTCAAATCGAACCTTCAGAGGAAGATGATAATTTCCTAGAAAGTACAGTGATTAAACCACCTGTAGAATTACCAGAAATACCAGTCCTCACCATCACAGGCAGCGCTGTGAAGACTGGAGTTACATGCACACAATGGGCTGAAATGATAGATGTATCCTTACCTGTTCCAGAATTTAATGAGAAATTAAAAGATATGGCGCACACATATCCATTTGAATTGGATAACTTTCAAAAACAGGTATAGTTTTAACATTTTTTAAAACAAATTGTAGTGGTATACACTGACGAGATACCAACCAAGCCAGAATACCATATGGGCCAACCAAGGGTTTCGAGGGTACCATTTTGTTTTTTTATGGGGTAGTTTGGGCTAATGTCAGGTGACTAGCACCTGTAGCACTGCGACCTACATAGATCTATTGTGCTCGCCTTTTTGCAGTTTTCGCTACCTAGACCTGTCAGGGACAAGAATTGTAGGATATTTCTAGTGTAACTGCATGGAGGTCAACTTCTTATAAAAACATCAATGTTTTAAATAAACTTATTGTAGCTATTTTAGTTGTTTAACTTAAACTGTTTTAGCCTATTTGACCTTTCGAGTTATTTATAATTCTTCATTTGAAAAACAAATGTATAGTTAAAGTTGACCAATAATTTTCTTTCTTTCAAATTTCTTTAATATTGCAAAACTCAATTTTAACGATGTATTATTTTCAGGCTATTTTAAAATTAGAAGAAGGCCACCATGTATTTGTTGCTGCACACACCTCTGCTGGAAAAACTGTGGTTGCAGAATATGCTATAGCAATGTCAAGAAGAAATTGCACTAGGTGGGTATGGCACCTTTAAAAATGTGTTCACCATGTACTGCAATTGGAACCATTATTAATATCACACTAATATATAAAGATTTTTTTTCACTTAGTTATATCATAAACATGTATTAAATTTGTGTTTTATTGTGACTAAAAATATATATTAATAATAATAATAATCTCAGGACAATTCACACAGCACCATCTAGACCCAAGTTAAGCTAGCTAAAGCTTGTGTTATGGGTACTAGACAACTGATACAAATACATAGATATTTTTTTTTCGTAAATACATACTTAATATACATAGAAAACACCCAGACCGACACAAACAATCATACTCATGAATACAAATGTTTGTGCCGTGCGAGGAATCGAACCCGCGACCATCGGACGTAAAGCGGTGTGTTAGACCGCTAGACCACCGAGGTCGTCGAATTATATATATATTGAAGATTCTCCCTTATGATATCCCTTATCTTTAAAGACAGAATTTGTAACATTGTTATTGTAAATTTGTAAAATTTGGTCTCAAATTCTACCATTACAAAAAACTTTTTATATCGCTTTATAGGTTTTAGTAGGTTAATAAACTGATGTTTTACTTTACTTTTTAAATTGTGATAGTCTCATAGAATGTTTTTTTTCTAGAGCAATCTATACATCGCCTATCAAAGCACTGTCTAACCAGAAATACAATGACTTCAACAAGTTGTTTGGCGAAGTGGGCCTGTTGACTGGCGACTTGCAGATTAACGCCACAGCACCCTGCCTCGTCATGACCACGGAGATCTTGCGATCTATGTTGTATTGCGGCTCTGACGTCACTAGGGACCTCGAGTTTGTGATATTTGATGAGGTTCATTACATCAATAATACAGAGGTAATTACTATGGAATTATTGTCATAACTTTTTTTTCATTTATTTAAGTTAACAAATAATGACAAAATAATAGATTTTTATACAGTATTGAATAGAAAAAAAAAATATTTATAATATTGTTCACATCATTTGCTATATAATTTTACTATTTATAAACTAGTAATACTGCAAATGTTGAGATGGATGTGTGGTATGACAAGAATGGATCATGTAAAGAATTAATACATTAGGGGAAGTCTGGACGTCGCGCCAGTCTCGGAGAGTTGAAGAGTAATTGTTTGTCCAGGTATGGACATGTAATGCATAGGAAATAAAATAATATTTTAAGGAAGGTGTTACATATGAATTTGGATGGTTATAAGAGCAGAGGTCGACCGCAAAACAAATGTATGGACTGTGTGAAAGATGATATGACAAGAAAGTGAGTATATAATGTGATGACTTTGGACAGGGATAAATGGAAGAGAAAAATATATTACGCCATCCCCAAATAAATAGGGTAAGGGCAATGCATTCTATTATGCAGTAATTTATAGCATGTGTAATAATATTATAATATTTTTAGCGAGGCTACGTGTGGGAGGAGGTACTGATACTGCTGCCGGCGCACGTAAGCATCGTGATGCTGAGCGCCACTGTGCCCAACACTCTACAGTTTGCAGACTGGGTGGGTCGTACCAAAAAACGAAAAGTGTATGTTGTCTCCACACCTAAGCGACCTGTACCACTCTGCCATTACCTGTATACAGGTGACTCATCTATTTTTTTCTTTCTTTATTTTTTTTATTTTATTTACCTAGCTAACTAAGTCTGTTAATTTGATATGAAATACTTTTTAATTTTTTACCGTTGACCCACAATCCACGTTTTTTGGTCTGAAAGACATATAATAATAATTCTATTTGATAGAACACAGTTGAATTAATTCATTGTAAAGTTAGTTACTGTTACAGTGTTGATGTGATTGATGATATATTCAGTAAGGTGTGGTCAGAGACACACCTTTGTCACTCTCTCGACATTATTTTTTATCTGTATGGACCATACTCGCGACTCCCCACTTTATTTTATAGAAACAATGCTTGGAATTAACAAACGCATTTTGTGTCAACTTGTTTTTTAGGTTCAAATGGCAAAACGAAAAATGAAAGGTTCCTTGTACTGGACCACGATGGACAATTCCAACTGCGTGGCTACAACGAGGCGGTTGCAGCAAAGAAAGCTAGGGAGAGTGACAATAAAAAGAGCTTCGGTCCTAAAGGTAAATACTATCTGCAATCTATTTCAATAGAAGTGACAGCCTCTTTGCAGAAGTCTCTGACGCATGCACTGCATCTCTTTACTTTTCACTTTTGTTTTGATCGGTTCTTATCTTTTGATTGTATGTTAAATAGCCTACATTTTCCTAAAAATGGCTAAATGACAAAAAATCTTGTTTAAATGAACAATGCTGCTATGATTTGTCTATTTGATCTTGTTATTTGCTTCTATATAAGTTTCAGGTACAAATAATTGTTCAAAATTAATATTTGCATACCATTCTATGATGAACAATATATTAACAGACACACTGACAGAATAATTGAAAGAATAAACATGGCATCTACAAATAAATTTCATTTCATAAAGCGAGTAAACTGTCAGTAAATGGCAAATAATCCTAATTGTGTTCATAGTATTTAATAATCAAGGTCCTAAAAGATGTTAACGTTTCTGCAGGTGGCAAACAGTACTCAAATCCCAAAGCAGATCAAACAATGTGGGTTGCCTTTATAGATCATTTAAGGCAGAAAGACAAACTTCCTGTTGTGGCATTCACACTTTCTCGAAATAGGTAAAGTAAATAAAAAATATTTTGCGTCATCAAACTATGTGAACTTTATCTATAGGAGTATGTTCTCAATCCCTATGTATTTTTTAAATACTAGGCAAAATTTTCGCAAAATCTGAACAAATTTTACTGGTATCGCACTTTCCTTTGCGTGAAATATTAGTATTTTACATATATTTGTTTTTCTTTATTGCTGAAATGTATCTTGTAATGTCTTGTATACATTGTAGTCTTACACATAAAATAATGTCATCGATATTTTGGAATAGTAATGGGATAGATTAACAAGCACAAGTTATTATTATCAGCTCCTTCTAAAAGAATACTCATGAAACTGAAGACTTGAAACCTTTTGGAAAATACTCCCTTCTTAAAGAAAATACAATGATATTAAAAAATTCTATTTACAAATGCATTAAATAATTGTATAATATTAGATGTGACCAGAATGCAGAAAATTTAATGTCAGTGGATTTGACAACAGCTAAGGAGAAGGGCCACATCCGTTCATTCTTCTTGAGGTGTTTACAAAGACTGAAAGAACCGGATAGAGTACTACCTCAAGTAAGTATATGCAATTGGACAACTTGACAATATTTCGCCTCAACACTTTTTTAACAGTGCTTAGTTATTGTGTGGTCTAGGACTATAAAAAACAAAAGTAGTCTTACGATAGCCTTCACTTGCAGCCGATCCTTAAATATAATATAGAGGTAAATTAAATCGTCTATGCACTTTTTCTACTGGATGCTTGTCTTGCTCTTAGATAAGATATTACCTTCGGAGTCAGCATTTACGTAGTTTCTTATCTATTTCAGGTTAAAAGGTTACAAACCGTTCTCGAAAATGGTATTGGTGTCCATCACAGCGGCATTCTGCCATTGTTAAAGGAAATTGTCGAGATGCTGTTCCAATCTGGCTATGTAAGTAAATTGTTTGTAACGATCACAAACCACATGCTTAGTTTATACCTCACCTTATTTTGTATTATTGGCAAAAGACTGACTGAAATCTACTGCAAAAAACACATATTAATAAACAACACATAAAACGGAAAGCATATAATTAAATATATACGATATTACCTGTAAGTTACTAAAATATATAAAAAATTGCAGGTAAAAATCCTATTTGCGACAGAAACGTTTGCAATGGGCGTGAACATGCCGGCTCGAACTGTAGTTTTCGATGAGAGCACTAAATTTGATGGAGTGCAGCGGCGGACGCTACTGCCGGCTGAGTACATACAGATGGCTGGGCGAGCTGGCCGTAGAGGTACCAATTTTATTATTATATAATAACCCAGGTCAATTCACACAGCACCATCCAGTCCCAAGATAGGCTGAGCATGTATTATGAGTACTAGACAACTGAAGAAATACTTAAATAATTAATTTATACATAATATGCGTAGATAACGCCCAAATTAATCCAAACAAATAATCGCAGTCATTAATACGTATACGAATGTCTGCTTCCTGCCAGGATTTGAACCTGCGATCATCGAAAGGAAGGCGGCGTGCTAGACCATCGGGTCCATCAATATTATCCGCAGTGCTGCCCACCTATCCGCAAGAAATATACGTAATAGTCTACGAATGAATGAAATAATAATGTAGAATAACTATATTACTGGCTGATAATGTATATTATATCTAAATGAAGTGAATGATTTTTTAAAATCGATCTACAAATTTTTATGTTTATCCAATACAAAGAAATATCTAATCTTTCTTCTTTATAATATTCGTTAAGATCACTATGTAATATGACTTAGTTGCTTTAAAATTAACAGTTTTAATGTTACTACGATCAGTTTGTCAAATTATACAATTACAAGTAATGGAGAAAAAAGTAGTATTCACAATTGGACTACAATCTGATACATTTAACCTAAGTCACCCAAGTAATATGGACGGGAGAATTATTAATTTATTATTATTAAAACCGATGTGCATGTATTATTATTATTTTTAGTAAAATACTACTGAAAGCTTGGTCTTGTTCTAGGTCTGGATGATACGGGTACTGTGATAATACTGTGTAAAGACGGCGTACCAGACCTAATGACGCTTAAAGGCATGATGATGGGTATCCCAGAGAAACTCACATCACAATTCAGGCTTACGTACGCAATGATCCTCAGTTTACTACGGTAGGTGATAACATACTAAATAATAATTATGTTGTTTTATGTGTTATGGTGGATATAATATGCTCGCATTGTTGAGTGTTTGTATCGAAGTCTGGGCGCTAAACAGTTTACACTTGGATTCTAATCTATATCCGAGATCTATTTATTGCCTGATGGTGCCTTATTCAGAGACGAAAAGTGTCGTAATATGGGTGTAGATTCAACAACAGTGTGAATTTGATCACTAATAGAGAAGGTCATAACGCAGTAGCGGTGATCAGATTTCCGCACTGAATAGTTGTGGTCTAATGGTACATGCTGAGGGTAGGAATTATATAAATTAAGAGAACGAGAATGTAATATTGCATATAAGAGCATTTTATTTTTTATGCTTACCTAATGGGCCACTATGGACCATAGCTTATATCTGTTCCTGTACCATATATCTATTATTAGAATTACATGTTTGTTATTTCACAAATATTACAGAGTAGCCACAGTATCCGTAGAAGGCATGATGCAACGCTCGTTTCGTGAGATCAACCAAATTGTACAATCGGATAACTACAAAAAGCAGTTGTTACTAGCCGAGAAGGAATATTCAGAGAAGTGTAGTACACCGCTGGCTTCGCACCTCGCTCCTCTCGCAACGTTCTACGATAATGCTACCAAGTATATCGACATATTGAATAATATCATGCCTGTTTTATTAAGTCAGCCTAAAGTGACCAAAGAAATAGTACCTGGCAGGATATTTATAATTTCAGCTGGACCGTACATTAATCAATTGGGTGTTTATTTAAGTAGCAATGGTAGGTGTTATTTTTTATGGTAGTATATGGCTTTTATAATTTCAAAACAAATAATAATGTATATGTTATTTATATATTGAGCCAATAACCGTATTTTGAGTACACGTACATTCTCAAGTCTTTCTTTATTCCGTTATTATTAAGAGGTTTTATGATTATTATTATTGAGTGATGTTTGTCATACCTACAGATTTTATAAAATTTCAAAACACAATTTTATAATAATAATAATAATCATAAAACCTCTTAAACGTACCACTCCTATACTACTACTAGAGTAAGGAAGAGATTTAACATTGGTAATACCAGTTTTGATTATATAGTATTATATTTAAGTGACTTTGAAAAGTAGACATTTTTTTTATTTGATTAATATTTTGAATAGAAATTTCTATGAATTTTCACATACGTCGTAGTCGATGTAGTTTTTTTTTTAATATCAAAATACAGTTGTATAATATATTTTATTTGAATATACAGGTCCCCGTCAGACCCCGTACAAAGTGCTAGTGCTAGACACAGCCGAACAGGATACCACCAGATACAACTTCGATATTGACGAAAACTGGTTCAGGTTACTCGGCTTCTCTGCTATTTACGACACCACGGGTAATAATATCAAAAAACTATACCTAATAATATATAAATAATACCTTCCATCAATTAGACACGTTAAAGTGGCGACAAAATGCGAAGAGTGTGAGGAATCATGTTTTATGATGTCACCATTAAAAACTTAATTATAAAAGAAATATAAAGTCACAGTAGGGCCGTTAGAGTCCGATATGGTCACTTTCCTATGATGTAATTTATACATGACTCCTTATTTCAGTTTAACCATTCGTGGGTATGTTTAATTTTGTCTCAATTTACTTAAGTAATAACTTTTACCCTGTGATACCTATTACATTAAAATGTTTTAAGTACGTACCCTAACTAAAGTGTTAGGAATAATGAAAAACATATATTTTGTACTTGTTTGTTTATATAATTTACTAGCTTTTGCCCGCAGCTTCGCTCGCGTTAATTGATCTTCTTAACAGTGGAATTCATCAAAATCCTTTCTTAGGAGATGCCTACGTCATAGTAGCTTTATGCATGCAATGTCTCAGTCCGATCGGTTTGAAATTGAAAAAGTTTCATATAAACTTTCATCCCCTATTTTTTCCCCTTGGGAGTAGAATTAATCAAAATCCTTTCTTAGCGGATGCCTACGTCATAACATCTACCTGCATGCCAAAATTCAGCCCGATACGTCCAGTGCTTTGGGCTGTGCGTTGATAGACAGTCACCTTTGAGTGATATTTAGATTTTATAAAATTACATAATTATTTACCATATAATTTTTTTTTTGTATAAGGCTACCCTTGTCACCTGGTATAAAAATAGTTAACGATCTATTCTCAAATCTACCTAATATACACTATATATCATAAAAATCATTCAAGCCGTTTAGGAAGACTTCGATAATTTACAATGTAACATTAGATTTATGTACACTAGATAAAATATGTATAAAAAGTATACAAGAGTGATTTATGACTTTGTCTGTATAGTGTTTATATCAATTGAAACTTTCATTGTTCTCCAGGAACGGAAGAAAGCACTCTGAACCACACAATATTATGCATTGGACCAAAGAACATTGTGGCTATTACCAAAACAACTATAAAAATTGATGTTAATCTTGTTATACAAGACTGGGAAAAACGGCAAATTCCACGGTAGGTATGATAGGAATTCGAAGGATGGTGCCACCGAAGGTGCCATGTTCGATTTAAATATATTATATAGGCATGTCAAATCATGCGTTTATCATGACGTCGCCAGATGTCAATGCTTCTAGGTACCCTGTATGTGATAATAATATCTATAACAATACATATACAACTCACAGCGCCGTACAGCACAAATATAAAGCGCCATATAGTCCCAAGCCAAGCACGCGTCATTTTATAGATACTAGATAACTGATATAAATACATAGATATATTTTTTAATACTTTCAGAGTATATTTATAGAAAACACCGAGACCGATACAAACAATCATATTAATTAATACAAATGTTTGTACACTGCGAAGTATCGAACCTGCGACTACCGGAAGAAAATAGCTTGACTACCTGACTGATAACAGACGTGACTTATTTAACGGGCAAGCAATTTATGAATGTAATTTTCCAGATTCAAGGACGCTCCTGTAGGGTCCAGCTGTGCCAACGTAGTACAAGAGCTATCCAGGCTTTCGCACGCAATTCGAACGGGAGCGAGTAACTTTGAATACATCAATCTGAAACAGTCACTACCTGTTACTTCTGGAGAATTACTACATCTTCTGGACGATATGTCCAAGTATGAGGTAATAAAATAAATACATCAAACCTATATCAAAATGAGAACATCTGAGAGATATAAAGTATATGCCTATTCTTATTATTTAACATCGATGACTAGCAGTAAATAACGTAAACTGTTAGGCGGCTACATCATTCCTTTATCATCCATAAAAATAAACTTGCTGTGTTATTTCTTTATTTTAAAGTTTATCTGAAGTGTCACCTATCACTTGTACTATTTATTTATTAGAAACAACTATGATATAGCTATGCTAGGTTATTTTAATTTTGTGATACCATTATGTAACTAGTTGCACAATCCTAGGGGAAAGGTGACTTGGACTAATAACGTTACTAATGTTAAGTTGATCTCTACATGGAATCTCTATGTCTTCGCCCTGAAAACCCTCATGTTAATGCCTAGTGAATTAGTCACGATGGGCCTAACACCCAACATCCTCCACTGGTGCCCCGTCTCATAAACCATTAGCGTAAATATTTTATTATCATCCATAAAAAGAAATTGCATAGACCTGGTTACTAGGTAACAGACAAAAAAATACTTTACATATCATACAATTCCATATAGTTCTAAACAACAGCTAGAAATACGTAAAATACGTTTACTATACTTTTAAAAAATGTTTTAAAGCAGTCCAATACATATTCATAGTCTTAAGTACATATAATTATTGTACGATAATCAAACATGTCACATTCGAATGGTAGGGATACTATTCTAAATATTTGAAATGTGTTCGTACTCTTAATTACAGCAGTATAATGTTTTTTTAATGTGTTAATTAATTGAATATTCACGTTTTATAATATAAAATTTGTTGTAGGAAATATTGAAAACACAAAAGAAACACACAGATATAGCAAATTTCAAAAGCGAATTGGCAATTGTGTACGAGCGTAAGCAGACAGAACGTAAACGAGACAAGTACAAACGTCTACTGTCGTTCGAAAACCTCGCCCTGTACCCGGACTACCAGCGGCGGCTGCTCGTGCTGCGTGAGCTGAAGTACATTGATGAACATGACAGTGTTATGTTGAAAGGTACTTTATATAATTCATATCTATTGTTAGAGTCAGATTATCGACAAGGCACATAACACATAGCACAATAAGCACAGAATCTTTAATCAAGTTGGAATATAAAAATGCTAACTCCAGCTAGGAGTGACTACACTGTAGCTTTGTGGCGCAGCCAACTGCGGATTTCGATTATTGTTGCTGTTATAAATTAATTTATAATATCGGGCCTCTAGAAGGGTTCTGATGAGTAGTGTTTAGAGCAATCTCACCATTTGATAAATATTTTGTTTGCATCTTCAGCAACACAAAGATGAAAAACATAATAAACCAATCAACAATAACAATAATAAACAAATAACTGTTCTTATTGTAACTATTTTAATTAATTTTTATTTAGACACAGCCGCCTCATACGTTACCGTGCCTTAGGAATAATAACTCCTGAGATGCGTGTCTAATCAATTACCAACATTAATCAACTAATTGCTTATTGATTATTACCTTAAATTATTTTAAAATAAGCTTCTAATAATGTACCTATGTATATTTAATACTGTAAATCCTTTAGGATTAAATGAAAATATTGTTTTTTTAAGGTCGTGTGGCATGCGGGATGGGTACCAACGAACTTATAATATCGGAGCTGGTGTTCCGCAACGTGTTTACGAACAAAAGTCCGGCGGAGATCGCGGCGCTGCTCAGCGCCTTCGTGTTCCAGGCGCGCACGCAAATAGAGCCTGTACTGACAGAGAAGCTCGCAGAGGGGCGCAAGGCTATTGAAGAAATAGATGATGATCTTATGAAAATTGAAGCAAACTATATGGTGAGTGTTGGCGATGGAATGATTGGGCTGCATGCGTGATGTTGTGAATCAAATAATGGGTAGAAATGGTAAATATTTGTAATAAGGTACAAACAGTAACAAGGCAAAAGTGACAACAATAATATGAAAATTCTAAAAACTAAAGAAAATACATTTAAAATTGGTACAAAATTAAATATATAAAAATGTGCAGAGTTTGGAATAGTGAGGTTAAATGAGCTGGCAGTATATAATGTACCCCATACACTTCGTACACAGTAATCTGCGTGAAAATCCCTCTCAAACTATCTGTCTTACCTATTTCTACCACTAAGTAGTAACATATTTGTTTTTTTACCTATTTCCATGGTAGGTTAGTATATAGCTGTGAAATTGTAGATTACGTGGATTACGATTTTTTTGTTCTCGTATAGAATGCAAATCTGTTCGGAATATATAAGTATCACATTTTTTTTTTCAGGTGAACCAGTTCGAAGGTCAGCCAGAACGATTGAACTTTGGTTTAGTTAGAGTAGTGTACGAGTGGGCCCTAGAGAAACCCTTTGCAGAAATAATGGATCTCACAGATGTCCAAGAGGGTATCATCGTCAGATGTATACAACAACTGCATGAGGTAACTGATACACAGTTAATTCTTGAATTAGTTATTCAGGATGCCGAAATTAAATTTCTGCTTAGCACTTTGCTTTGTAAGCTGTGTTCTAGTTTTTAGGTTTTCGGAAGCATGATACCTTAGTCAGTTAGGAATTGCAACCCATGAGGGGTATCATGGGCATCACTAACCATGTGATCACTTTCCATCAGGTTCTAATACTTATTTTATCTTAAAGTCAGTCAGACCAATTTTATCCTATAACTCTACTTTCCTCTTTCTCCAGCCCATCTCAGGTGTGCTAGTGATATGTTTATTGTCATCAGGCCAACTCACGTGACATCTTTCCTTATTTTTCTTAAAAAATCTTGAATGTTTTATTGTTTTTTGAAACAGCTGCTAATAGACGTAAAAGACGCCGCTGTGGCTATTGGCGACCCGAAATTACAAGCTAAGATGATGGAAGCGTCCACTGCTATTAAGAGAGACATCGTATTTGCAGCCAGTCTCTACACTACACAGAAAGAAACTGTTACTGTTTGAACTAAACATTTAAAATTTTATTAACAGATAATGAAAAAACCATATTCAGTGAAATTTTAAAACGATGTATTGCATAAATTATATATTATTGTACATGTATTATATATTACACTATTATATTGGCATTAAAAAGTTTTACAAAAGAACTATGTCAAATTTAATTTAAGAAATGTATAATGAAACTTATGCTTAGTCACTGTCCTACTAGCAAATTTGTGTACCAAAGTGTTAGTAAGGCAATGGGCTGGTTTTTACTTTAAATATTGAAAATTTTGTCCTGATCTCTTGTGCGATATTTTTAATTAAAATATTGTTTTATATTGAATTTTACTTTTCCTTTAATATTAATATAGTCGCATACTTCATCCATCCGTTTAGTTGCTATCTGTGTGCTTTCATTTACTGACATTTCTTTATATTCATAATATTTTTTTAGAAATTATTAGTAAAACTATGATATGATAAGCTATAATAATTCATTGTCTGCGTGTGATACAAATAATTGTTTATGTAACCACAATAACGAGAATTTTAAATGTAACTATATTCCACGCGCTGTATCATGGTGGGGATGACGAATGACAACTGATGAGAAGTCATAATCAATATAATAATCTTAAATATATTAGTCTTAGTACTTAATAAAAAAGAAAAATAATATGGAGATACAGTGTGAATTAAATAAATTGACATAAACAATGATTGATCACAGAGTGGAAGTGAATGAAAATAAAGTGGCGTGAGTTCCATAGAGGCAAGAAGAATTTAGTTACAAATGACTAACATGTAGTTTGTCGTTTATTCAAAAAAGGAATACGTTTGCTTTCTATCTTCATATAACGGTTGTTCAATATAATAGCCGTTGATGATGAATAGCCGTTGTAGCAATTGCAAAAAGTATCTATAAGACTATAGTTGTCGTTTTATTTAATTAATTTGCATTCCTGTTTTATATACAGTGTATATTACAGTATTATCTAGTTCAAATTACAATTTGAAACAAATAAAAACATGATTTTAAATGTCGCGGCACATTTCACATACCGTTTACTGATAACCAATGGTCGAGACATTGGTACATTGGACTTAGACATCATTAAAAAAGTCTATTTTCGTTTCGAGCAAATATAATTTCAATGTAGCTATGTATAATTTGGAGTTAGTCTTCAAACACTACAGTTTTATTTTTAGACAAAGTTTTAGTGCTTTATGGAAAGCTAAATGGGAGATCACAATGTTATTGTTTTTAGGTTCGTGGCTGTTGGCGCAAAAATACTTCATAGGCTGATAGATAGATACTTCATAGACATGATCTTAATTAACTGCTTTTAGCCACGACACATTCTCGAACTTCAATCGTAAATATATTATTGTGGATATTAATCCACAGCAATTGTGGGATATTAATCCGTAATATCTTGCTATATAATCTATATACAATTTAAATGTTAATGTGTATTATTACGTCCGTGTTATTTGTTAGTTGTAGCCAGTATTAAGCAGTTTTTTGTTTAAAAGGTGATATGATCGAAATCGTTTTTAGCCACAATTTGTTAGTTGTTTAACTAAACCAAACCAAACTATCTAAGTAAATTCTGGTCCAGTTTACGTATTTTATAATTTACTGTGCATCGTCATAAAATGCGTAGTTTAGGGTGCTGTGATATATATATATATATACTATAAGGTGGATACAGTCATAGTGATTACTTGCTTACATGACACTGATAACCTTCAAAATACTTAGGAAAAATGTCAAGAGTAGAATGTCAAATTCACGTCATTCCAAATTCAGAATCAGAATACTTATTATGAAATGGAACGTAGTTTTATCTTCATCATCCGCATTTTATACATGTTTTCAATTCAATGACTTGTGTAAATTCAATTTTGATGTATTGATGACGAGGCAATAGTGATTATCATCTTATATATATTACACACAGTACTGATGATTGCCATCAGTGCTCAGATACTAGTTAAATAACAACTTGTTAAATTTATTATTCGTTACATTTGGTGTAATTTGATCAAAATGATTCAAGACGACGAAGGTGAATTAATGTTGACGAGCCCAGAGAGAGTGGTGGCTCTGGGTTTCAAACCTCAGAAGGAAATCCTCACTAACTACCTGCTTCCGTATGTCGATGAACTGGACGAGGAGTCCCAAAAGTTCTTGGAACAAGTGAAGACAAATCTAGCAAAGGCAATTATTCTTCGCGAGATGAAGCCTGCATGCGGTGTCTGGTCTTCCAGGCTAATGAAGTACGTTCTTATGATTTTCTATTCATTTTATATGGTATAATCTAGCAAATTATGCACATTCATTTACAATATAACTTCAATATGAAATTAAACTTTAGTTGCAATTTGACCTGTAAAGAGAAATTGTGAGATAACCCATTTGTGTGATATATCCATAGTGAATTTGTTAGCCAAATTCACTATGGATATATCCTGTCGATTTCTTTTGAAGTTATTAATGTAGAATATGATCTATTTATATTTCAATTAAAAAAAATTCAATTAAATCCTTTCAGAAGTTTTTGAATGAAAATGTAATTAAAATTCATCAACAAATTTTCGCACTTATAATGTTAGTACATATGAATTTAATAAATAACAACATAAGGTACTGGCAATTTTTATATTTTTATTGTAATTTCTCACATGTTGATATTGAATCATATATTCAATTTTTACATGTCATTGTGTTATCTTCATTCTCTATGTATATATTCTAAGCACAAAGAAATTGTGTAGGAGGATGAACTTGATACCCAATACAAAACAGCTTGAGCACCATGCTAATAGGCTAAATTCTCCTTTTAGGAAATGAGACAGCTGTTTGGTATTTTTTAATTATACCATGCTATTAGAGTGGCTTATACATATATATATGATAGAACTTCCAAATTCTGTTATATGTATTGTATTTGGTTTACACTACAGTTAACCTTTGGCAACATTGCCTATATCTAAAATATTCTGGCTTTTGCCCAGAACTTCCTGTAACTACACCTGGCCTATAGTAATAAATACATGTGTATTATAAAATTACAATAAGTTTAATTTATTAAAAGACAACAAAAATATATCATTATTATAAAATTAAATATTATAATAATTTAGGTATGGAAATAAATCACCAAGTTAATTTAAACTAGTACATATTTGGTGACATGTTTCCACAATTTATTTAAAGTTTAATCTCTGCATGATATAAATTTTCATATTTGTTATTCTGGTGGTTTTCTTTCATATTATGTATGTATATATTCAAGAAATTAATTTACATGTATATAATATACATGATGCAAACTTTGCATAGTATAAAACTAGTGATGTTGTGATGTTATTTGGGTTTTTTTGTTTGATACTTTTTATTATTTCATATAATAACCCAAAGCATTTCCTTTTCTAAACAAACTAATGTAAAAGCACATAAAATTAGACTAATACAAGTTCATTCATTTATAAACATTCTAAAACAAGCAAACTTTTGGTTATAATTTGGTTTGCAAGTTTAATTATATTAGAAAAGATATAAAATATATTGTATGATGCTGAGATAATAGGTACACCACTTAGTATATCATGGTAACCCCATTTTTCGAACTTTTACAAAAATACACATACTACTATTATATAGCCTGTCATATAATTTGTAAGTCTAATAATATTGGTTATTATTCTTAGTGACCACTCATAGTCTTTAAAATTCACAAAGCGCATGCTGAAGTTACATACTGTTCAGTTTATAATAAAAAACAGGCAAAATAATAGCTGAAACTTTTATTGCTATATGATTTTCATAAATGTTTTTATGATGTAAAGTTGAAAAGTATCAATTTAAATATGTTTTAACGTAATGTAATGTACCAACTTTACTATCATTGCAGTAGTTAGGAAAGTGCATTTATCTACATGTGATAGATGAATGTAAAACCAAATCCCTTTTCCAAATTTAGCCTCACATTTGGGGACACTGTACATGTATAACTGAGTTACTAAAAGAAATTTGCCTTGCTAAGCCAGTCTTCTCCTGACCATCCCTATATGTTTGTAGAAATATATATGTATGTTTGTAGAAATTATTAAAAATTCTGCATCATCACATTCTAACAATATAAAATGTAATCCCCAAAGTAAGCATGATATTCAAAGTAAACACAAGTTAGTAAGGTAATTGTCCAAAAAAGTATATATATCTGCTTATGCATATTTCTAATAAGTCACTATACAAATTTATTACCTATATTATTTTAGTTTAAATAATATAGATCATATCCTAGATTAACTAGCTAGCTAACTTTAGCTTTTTAATTTGTTTCATACATTCATACATCTGCAACAGGGCACAATACAATAGTAATGCTGTCTTAATTATTGCTGTGATTAATTACTTTGTAAACTAAGAATATCTCATTGTTCACTTTTAGTACAAACAGTTTATACATTTTTTTATGCTTTATAGGTACATACGGATTTATGGATTAAAATTTAGCAAAGAAGATCATATTGCATTTATAAAACTTGCATATGAGTTGATGTTAATACCTGATCTTGAACCTTACAAAGTCCACAAGTTTGCAACAATGTTTATTATGCTGACAAAGTGAGTATTTTGGATGTTTTGTAATTGTTTTTAAATATTTCATCATTCATCAAAATATGTGTCATCTTTAGAAGTTTAGTTCAGATTATGAAAGTTTAATTTTAGTGTGATCAATGCAAATGGACTATAAACAAAATAGTAAAAAGTAATTTTCTACTTTTCACTCTTTTTTTGGCAATGAAGTTTGTTACTTACTACTACTATGTTGTTCTTATGTTAGATTGTTTTCTATATCAACCGATTTTGATGATTCTATTTTTAATTGGAAAGTGCTATGCAATTTCGTTCTATGTAAATTTGATGAAGATCCGACTAGTTGTTTTTGGGTTCTAATTATATACCTACGTAATCAAAGTCGGTTTTTGCTTGGTATAAACACGTTATTTTTTTGTTTATATGTTACTCAATAAACGCCGCCGTTAAAATCGCTATTTGTAGTACGCATATTATTGTAATGCCGTATTGGTTCAATATTACAGTAGTCATTACTGCAGACTATTATTTTCTTGAACGAAATTTGTAATTATAGGCAATAGTGATTGCGGATGTTTCATAATTACCCGTGAGTGGTATTTAGCTTATCTATATATAGATGTACAATATATTGAACAGTTAGGTGTCTGCTTTAACAACACTGTTATGTTTGCCAAGAAAGAAATTTAAATCCCTCAACTGTTTGGCATACTTTTCTATTGTTACTGTTTAAAATATTATACTATTATGCTGTCTTGATGTATGGATCACTTTCTGTTTCTGAGGACAGTAACCGTCTACCGTCAGGTCGAACTCATGTTTGTCAACAATATATGACGGGATCGATGTTTTTTGATATTTATAATAAAATAATACTATCTTTAGAAATATATTTCGACACAAAAGAAAAAATGAAGAATCAAAACTAACATAAAAATAAATAATATCAAAATAAATCTTATAAAAGGAACAATGGACTGCCAAGGAGCTGCAAGCAACGCAATATTTATTTTTAAACTTTCGCTTTTAGCACACTTTATTAATATAGGGGTAATCGGGTCTTTGTGTAATTCGGTTAACACGAATAATTTTATGCTAATTTACTTCTCTTGACTTATCGACTACGAGTATGTTGCAAGTTACAGTAGAAAATCTCTCATTTACTATAAAATTGTTCCTGTTAAAACCTGATTAACTATATTAATGATTAACATAATAATTGTTCTATAAAAGATGCCGTGATACATTTTCGTTCCAGGAAAAGACATTTGATTTCACCGGAAGAGTTGACCCTACCCTGGCGACCCCTTTTTGATTTAGGAAAAATATTCGACAAAACCTTTGGATTATACCATAATCTCACGTAAGTGAATTTTAGATTTTTTATAACTATACCAAGTGTACAGAATAGTACATTGGTATATAAATATAGGGATGGCTTTTAAAAAATGAACTGTTATTTATATTTTATTATTATATTTAATAATTATTTTTATATTTTATTTATGTTATATTTTTAAATTAGTATCAATTAATTGTATTTTTCGTGCTAAACTAAAAAATCATACATGATAATTTTAACAAGAAATCACAACTACAATTGTTAACCATTACATTTTTTTGTTAGAGGATATATCACATACATCTATGTTTAGGGACAAACCGAAAGTCTCTGAGAGCCAAGAGTCCCGTATTGTCGAGCTGGTACGCAAATTCTTGTCGGGCCGAGGCCTCGACGATGCTCTTGAGTTGTTCGGCTTTGGCATGGCGAAGGAGCAATTTGAACTGCCCAAGTAATAATTTTTACATCTGGATCCGCTTCTTGGTGTAAATTGGTTTATGTGTATGGTTCACTCACCAGTCACTATCATGGGATATCATGTAATACAAATCATTTGTGCGCCAGTGTGGTGGCAGGGTATATTATCCTATTGTTATTTACTATAGTGTAATAATAGTTTTATTTTTATTTCAGATCTCTTGAAGGATCGTATTTGTCTATGATCGTATGTGCCAGACCGTAAGTAAATTGAATTGATTTATTTTCAATTATTATTTTGAAACAAGTACTGTATTTTGTGATGCTCTCTGCAAATATTTTGTATATTTGTAATTGCTTTTAAATGACCCCTTAAGTAAAAATAAAGGAAAAAAGTTTCTCTTACCAATAAGCTACTAAGACATGCCGAGACGTTTAGACGTTTCATAACACATATTGTAGATAGAAAAAATTTAGGAAGTGTCCAATTTAGGTTATTCTATTAAAGTCTAAGCCGAAATTTAAATCATCCAGCTCCCTCAGGTTTAGTAAGACCAGCCAAGCAGCGACCTGCAGTGGCATGTTTGAAGCCCTAAAAAGACTGAACCCAGTCTAATACAATCTCCTGTCATATCCTTTGTCCATCGTACTGCGTGAAGGAAGACCTTAACAAAGCAACAGACTGTGGCATAAAAGTCTCTAAGTACTAACGTAAATATATTTAGGTTACCATTGACACTAAAAAAAAGATGTGTCCGATTTGTATATTCTGCAAATATTTCAGCTACTTCGAGCCGGAAGCTACCAAAGAAATACTTGAAGAATTCTTACCCCAGATTCGCCTGTGGTCGTCTGGCTCATTGTTGGGTCAGCTGGTAACATTTCTGCCAGTGGCAATTCCACCAGACCGTGCTGCAGATGGGCATCTACTTTGGTTCGACCAGCTCATGACACTTTGGGATACTTGTTACAATTCCCAATGTGATATTGCGGTAAGATACTTACGTAATACAAAGAGTGAAGTTTATATTTTTAAGTACATGTAATAATACTAATAAGTATCACCCTCCGCTGTATTATTTATTATAACACATCGATCAGCCAAGCACTATCCATTCTAAGGTTGCCTATTATTGTTTTTGTGTTTTATTTAAATAGATAATATTTTATATAACTATGTTCTGTGAGAGGTACATAAAAGGTTTTAATTATATTCTTTGTAATTAGCTTAAGTCATACGTAAATATAGTTTAATTTGGATGGGCATATCAATAACTTTATCAGATGATTTTCAAAATTCTATTGAAACGATAAAATAATTCTTATACTGTTCCTACATAAAATTATCATACCTTAACGGTATGAAAATAGGTATTAGCATGATTAATACCCGGTGCGTTGTCATTGACAAATAAATCTTTATTTAATTAAACATAGGCAATAGAAATTATTACCGTTTTTAAATGTCTTGCTTTTGGCAATTTGAAAATTGTGTCAACTAGCCAGTCAATTGAGAGTCGATTTACACACCCATTCATTTATTATTAGGATTCCAAATAATTATTTACTCTATGCAATACTTTTGAAATCTCTTATTGTCAAGTTTGAGACTGTTTACTTATTTGGTCATTTCTTACGCAGGAATTGATGACTGTGTTTGCTGGACTTACCAAAAGGAATCCTGGCGCTGTAGATTGGACACCCTATGTAGCGGCAATGTTCACGAGATTCCTTCACGCGCTGAACTTACCTGTCAGCTACAAAGACATGCAGTTTACCCGAAATCATTCTCTTGGTAATTAAAAATATACCAAATATTTTAACACTATGAATGCCACTTAACAATATGTATAATACTAACAGGTTGAGAATTGAATGAATGAGAATGAATGACTATTATTTCATGAAGTGTAAAATCTACATATACATAACATACTAACAGTCGGAAAAATTTTCAATATCTTAAATGTTATAAAGGTCGATAAACTTAAATTCAAGTGCTTGATATACTAATAAAACTACTATATTAGTATTTTGGTTTAAAATTAATACAGGAATACCCAAATTTCTTTATTAATTTATTACTCGAAATTTGCACCCGAAATAGAATAGAATAGAAAAACATTTATTCAAATAAGGTATGAAGGTGCAAAAGGCTGTCTAATCAGGCAACTTTTAATCAAACAAAATCAATTATACGTGTTGTATACTTATTATATGCTAATCATATAATGTGTAGTTGTAAACAACCATGGAAAAAGTTTAAAACCCAAATAAATCATTAAAATTTTACAAACTTTTCCTCAGCTTTAATTTTTTTTTCTTATATTAGAAATGAAGCAGGTAGCAAGATGGATAGTGTGGGCTATAAATCCAGACGGCGTAGTTCTGAAGCACTTGCGCAGTTTCCTTGCCGGCGTAGAGAGCTACTTGCACAGCGCTAACTCTGGTCGCTGGTCCTACAAGTTAAGAGACTTATTGCGCAAGTTAGCCAGAGAGTTCCTCAACAGGTACATATTTTGATTTATATTTAGGTACTACATACACAGGTACTACATGTACAGGTGTACATGTATTACGCGTATAAATATTCCTCTTGAATCACTCTATCTATTGCTAAAATCTGCATTAAAATCCGTTGCGTAGTTTAAAAGATCGAAGCGAACAAACAACGGAAGCGACTGCATTTTATACTGTGTAAACATTTTGATAATTTACCAATATTCCTTCTGTATTATAATATGCCTAGTTCGTAATACTAGGTCCGACTGTCTTGATTATAATTAACTAACAGCAAGTTAATAAATAACATACCAACCGCATCTATAGTCTAGCGGTTTAGTGCATCGTCTTCCAATGGTCTCTCATTCGATTCTCGCATGGTAGAAACATTTATATTACAGGGTATACTTGTATTTATTTTAGATATTTTTTTTTATATAACAAGGATATATTAAAGTTTCTTAACACATTAGTGAACCCATGCGGCCTTATTACAAAAAGATAAACCTGGTTTAGCACTAGTAATAAACCAATGTATTCCTTATTACAAAATGAAGTTTATCTCTAAATCGTGATTCGTCTATGGTCTAAAGTTAGACCTGCGATGCCCCTAGTTTAACAGTGGTCTAAGGGCAAAAATACAAACTTCATTTTAAAAATTGTATTTTAATTTTAAGTTGTTGTTTTTCGAAAAATATTTTAACTAAATTAAAAATATATTAACTAAAAATATTTAAAGCAAATTTTACGACAATAAAAATATATAAAAGACGTTATTTGTTATTTTTTCACTCATTTGACTTTGAAATAGTCACCATTCGAACGATCCAATAAAAATATCTCGCCGTTCCTTTTCTCCGTATAGGACTCCTACTTGTAATTTAAAACTGATTTTCAGCCTAATAGTACATTAATAAATATTATATATTAATGAAATAGTTATAATGAAGACATAGATGAATAGAAATAAATTTATTTTTAGTTTATACATTTTTCTTTGAACTAATATTATTTTTGATCTTTTCAGTTTTCTGGTAAAATGGAACGTAATTGTACGGTGACAGACATGAGTGACTGATTTCTGTATGGAATACATAATGAACGATTTAACTGTAGTACTAAGTAGTCCTCTGTTAGATCTGGATTCGTAATAATGTTAGGTTTATTCCAAGTATTAACTTCAGGAATGGTTTAAACCACGACCATTTAGACCACGTTTCGTCCGAGTTTTAACAGATTTTTTGTAATAAGACCGATGGTGTTCCAAGCGTCCATAGGCTATGGTAACCGTTTACCATCAGATGGGCCGAATGCTAGTTTGCCACTGTTGTAGTATAAAATAATTATATTATGAATAATATATAAAAAAATGTATTTAAGTATTTCCATTACTTCTTTAGTACTAACTCTACTTTCATTTTGGGCAAGATAGCGCTGATATATTTATTACATGTTATTATTATTTCTTATAAAATTATTTTTCATAGGAAAATAATTATAGATTATATTTTTAGAGTCCGCCGTGAACGAGAAAAAAGATTCACAGAATCATGGGAGAACCAAACACCGGAATCATTTAAACTCAGAGATGAGGATATAACTGAATTTGTGAATATATTACTCGGACCCACGGTACAAGCGGTGTATAGCCGTAGTGGCTCTCTAGATATATTTATGGCGCTTCAAAATTTAGCCACACTGAGACCTAACATTGTAGTACCACCATTGTTAGAAAAACTTAGAACATCCCTCACGTCTCTAACGGAACCTCACAGAGTAACTGCGGCCATGTCAGCGGTCGCCTCTGTCGCCAGACCGATGCTCCGAGGACGCGAGACTGGCTATCCGGAAGGTCAAACACACGTCGTTCCATTCTTAATGGCCGTTTTACCTGGTTTGGATCCCAACGACATCAAAAAGACATTGGTCACGTTACACTTCATACTAATCTTTAGCTGGATGGTTCCAATCATTGACTGCAGTTCAGCACATGAACACTGGCCGGACCTCACTGAAGAAGAGCTACTAACATGCGAGTCCACTGCTCAATTCGAAGACTTCGTTCTCGTCTTCTTGGATCGCTTGTTTATTATAATTGAGTCCAGTGTTCTTGAACACGTGCGCCACGATACAAAAGAGAACGAATTCGGCCGCAGTAAAACGGACGCAGTGGTTGAAACATCGCTGTCATCTGCAGCGACAGCTGTTCTCATGCAGTGTTCGCCGAAAATATTCAAGGAAGCACTAAGAAAGTTCAAAGCGTTCGCTACTCAAACCACATTTGAAATTACAGTCTCTGGAAGCATGGTTGGTGTGTTACTTCGCGTATTCGCTCGTGTGAACTCTGAAGCGACGCTAGCAGCTTTCGTGCCCGACTTGTGTCAAGAATTAACTACTTTGCTGGCTACCGATGAAGCTGTACGTGATGAAGATCCTTCTCGAGACGTCGTTTACAGACTTGTCTTGCTCATGCACGCAGTGGAATGTGACGGCGTCGTTCTCTTGAAATATATAGACGATATTATTCCCGTTTTAGACAGAGCTCTTAAACTCTACTGCCAGAATGCGCTCGCAAAGGCTTGCGATGTTCTGGGCCATATGTTGGCTTCATTGAGTAACACATATTTATATGAATGGAGGAGTTCTCCTAAAGATTACTCTGAGGCACCGGAGAAATGGCTACCAATAAGAGAATGGGGACACGGCTGTTCAGTGAAAGAAGCCAATTTCAAATGGCATATACCGTGTGCTGAAGAAGCAGCATGCGCGCAGAGACTCCTCGACAGGTATTTGAAGCCGGAGCTGGCGCGACTGCGACAGTGGCTTGACGGAGAGCGACCTATTTGCCGCGAGCGCAGACTTAGAAGTTTCCATATCATAAACGCTTCTCTTTCTTGCTCTATGTTTATGCCGCCTCCAAATGAGAAACCAATTGCACTGTGAGTATTTATATAATTAAAATAATAATTTCCTGTCCCCAGCCATAATATTAAGTTGTGCTTTATAATGCTCATCAAATTATTAATATAATTTTATTTCGTAATCTAAACATTTCAAATTATATATATTGATTGATGAAAAAAAGGCGTACTGGCACACCCGGTTGAAACGAAGTTCCTTTTTCTATCCATAGTATGACTTTATAGTCTTCACTAGTAATACCATAATATGCATATACGTATATACATGTGTTATATACGTCACCGTACTGCAGTAATGTGCTCGCAAACATAAAAACTTTTGTAAATAAACAAACAAACGCACATATCGCAAATTTTGCAATAAGGAACTTAGTTTTAAATCACCCCAACTGATGGTAGAAAGCTCCTGAAAGACTTACCTAATCCATAACACTTCCCCACTTGGTTAGCATGGAGTCCTTAGTACCCGCCACAAGCATGCCGTTCACGAACGGCATCAAGCATTCGGTGACGCTGGACGGCGAGAACATGCGCGTCGCACTAATAAACCGGATGCTCGACGTGCAGGCGCGCATGCTCGCAGAAAAGTCCGATGATACACGCAGCTTTGAAATGCTTATACAGGTATATATGTGGTGTACATCAATTAATTTTGTAATACTAAACTACAAAGAAATTCATGCATATGGTTATAAATTCTCTTTATATAATTTCATTTATATACTTTGATATTGTGATTTTTTGTTATATATCCTGCGTACCAAATGACCTATATTGTGAAAGAGATATTTTTTTAATTTTTAATACTAGCGCTGCCTATTTTTACGCTAGATGGCGGTGTGTAATATATTCAGTTATTTTTTTACCTCATGACGTTTTAATGGTTCAAGTACCTATCATTAAATCATATATATACACACATTCTAAAAGCTTGAAGAAGGTCTGATCCAGTGCATCCCAGTATTTACGTGTACTACTATTTACTTTATGTGTATTTACAAAAGAAAAATGTGTCTATGTATTTATATCAGTTTTCTAGTACCTCTGCTGTACACAAGCTCTGCTTAGCTTGGGACTACAAGATGCTGCGTGAGTTTTAAAAAAAAAGTGTGTTTTAAATATTTTCGAAAGTATTCATGTCGTTTCTTAACTAAGCCATTCCAAATCGAGCTAGTAATCACGGGTACATTATATATATATCTGTAGTGGTGTGTGGTTTTACCCCGGTAAGTCAGATATGGGAGCGTGTGGCGGTGCCGGCGGGACTGCGGGCTACGTCCGGTCTAGAAGCGCGCTTGCGTTCGTTCGCAGCACTAGAGCGCGCCACGGACGGCCGCGGAGGCGTGGCCACCGGCGCGGGCTCCGCGAGACTACGCATGCTGCTGGCTGACGGAGCGAGGCTGCAGCACGACGCGCGCAGGGACCTGCCGTGTGACGCCGGGCTGCCGCCGGCGGCTCGGACCGTGTTACATGCCCTCTTCGACCTCTCCGTCTACGTTTACACCTCGGTTAGTGTCCAGCCGTCATAAATCTATCTTGAGATATTGCTTTAATGATAGACGTAACACTTGACTTTCGTGTTGTGATCATACTTTTTGTTCAAAGTGGAACATGAGAACTATTTAATATTAGACATAGACATCTATATAAGAATGCAATATAAATAAAATGGGTTTTAAAAAAAGAACTTCAGTTGAGTTTCTTTGATGCTCTGATAACAAATAATTTTATTATTTTTGTATTTTTCTATATATTTTTATAATAATCTCGTGAACAGGTCCGCATATTGGCCCAAATCCGCATGTACTGGATGCTGGGTCACTTCCCGTACTCGTACCGCTTGCTGCTGCCGCGGGTGAGCAGGCTGCTGCGCGAGGAGGTGGGCGGCGAGGAAGCGGGCGAGGAGGGCCACGCCCGCCACAAGGGCGTGCTGTGCGTGCTGCTGGGCCCGCGGGCCGGGCCCCTCGCCGCCAAGCACGACTGGGAGGTCGTGCGGGTGCTGTGGCCGGCCATACTCAACGCGCCGCTCAGCGAGAAGCCCAGCATCGTTCGGTCAGTACGCGCAGTACACTTGATTTCATTAAAATACATACCTACTAGGTGTCAAGCTGATCATTACAATATTAAATAAAATCTGTATAGATATTATAAAGATTGGTTTTTTGACGGCCTCGGTGGTCTACCGGATTAGCACATCGCTTTACTTCCGATGAATTCACGGCACAAACACTTGTAATCCTGAGTATGTTTGTTTATATCGGTCTAGCTGTTTTATATGTATATTATGTATGTATTTCCAAAGAAAAATCTAGGTATTTATATCAGTTGTCTAGTTAGTACCCCAGTACTCGAATATAACACAACTCTGTTTACCGTGGGACTAGATGGCGCTATGTTAATTGGCCATGGTTATTTATTATATCATTTTTGTAAGTATGAAATAAACTCAATTATACTTAACAGATTTAAAAGGGAATCACTCTTAATAATCATAATATGCAGGCGATGTATTGTTTAAATTTGTTATGTTTAAAAACGACATATCGCTGTAGCTTGTGTAATCAAGCAAGGGCATGGTTTTTATTTAGAGAAATGTGTTATTGTCTTACTACAATGTAGAATCAGAAACCCTTATGTCTAGTTTATATTGATCTATTATTATTATTTTTTAAATTTCTGCCTATTAGAAGAAAAATGTTCGATATAATATTTCTCTGCCAGATTAGAACAGTTATTCATTGAGTGCCTACACCGACACTTCCCTGCCGTGAACACCCGCCTCACCATGTCCCAGGCGGCCATCGACTCCGCCAAACGGCTACTCACTGATGCTCAACTCGCCGATCCTGTATTCACTGAACAACTGGCGGGAGCTGTCGATCGAGAGTTAGCTAACTCAAATAAAACTGAGAAATTGTATTTAGAATTGATCAATGAACTGGTGGATATTGCGGAAGCCCCTAATGTGTGAGTATGATTTGAAAATGGAACTTTAGAATTTTTTAGTATCACATTTTTTTTACTTCATTTTATTTTTATTGAATGGAAATGGCAAAAAAAAACGGATTTCCTTATGGCAAGTGGTATTATTTGACGCCTGTTGTACGGCGCTGATTGCGTTGCTAATCCAAAGAGATCATGCTTCTATACTGAAATAGATAACAGAGATTTATCGAAAATTTTATAAAGCAGACATCGGCAAAAATATAAATTGTTAAAAAAAATGTGAGTAGTCAACTACTTTTATTAACTAAAAATGGTAAAATAACACCAATAATAAAAATAAATTTGTAGCAGGCTTTAGTTGTTATAAATACAAGATTAAAGAAGAATTGATATAAACTAGAATTTTTTTCTATACCTATTTTTTCGATTGTGCAGTGTTTGGCGTCGTCTGGAGCTGGTTATGCACATGTTGTCTTTCTGTCCGTCTATACAAATCGAATACCCGACTAAAGCGGTCAAATTGATGGTGAACTCCCTACTTCACGATAACATAACGGTGCGTCGCATCGCGCAGCGTCTCGTGTACTACACGTTGAAACAAGTCAAACGACCGCTGAAAAAGATACTAGTGGACCCATACGAGGTGGCCGGGGTTCCGAGACCTGAGAAACATGTGCCAGGTACGTACAGGGTCGTGTCAGTACATAAGTTCAAATCTCTCCAAAAAAAATACTGCAGGAAACATCGAATTAATCCGCAAGTCGGCAGTAGGCTCGCTCCTTATCTCCTATATTGAATTCAAAAAATACCGCGTGAAATGTTTTACGTTCACCGCAACATCGACAGTTGACCTTTATCTACCCAATCAAAGACGTCGGTCGTGAAAGTATATTTTCTTTTATCACTTAATTTTGATAAAGAAAGATTTTTCATAAATAAAGAGCAAATTGAATTCAGACTATTTTAGCCATTTAAGCAAGAAAAGATTAACTTACAATATATATTTGGCTGTAATTTTCCTTTTCTTACTACAGGTTATAGAAAAGATTTGGAGTGGGTGATGTGGTCAGAAGACAGGATACCTAATAATGAAGAGGATTGGGACAGGCCATGGTTAAAGAACTCTAAACATGGCTTTTACTCATGGCCCAACAAACTTGAGGTAAAATAAACTATTATATTATATTACCTGACCCTCCTCAATTCAATCCAAACATGACCCCATAACAAAAATACACTATATTTAGTTGAAAATTGATTTCAAGAGAAAAAATAGGATTTGATATGACATTATTTATTCTGATCTGGTTTTCCATCTCAATTTCCACATTATGTATTAAATGGCCGCTTTCCCCATAGCATATTTAACCCTATAATATTATTATAAAAATATTACTATTTTAACTAATTTCAATACATAAAACCAAAATTTTGTAATATTTACTAGATACTTTGTTTATATCATATCAACTATGATTAGTTGAGGTGAATAATTAGATTCTGTTAATAAATAGATTTGCATTTCTAGCAGAATCATGTTGTTTTTCTTTTATAAGTTTTATGCATTGATATTATTATTAAAGTTATGGTGTTATTAGTATTGAATTGATATTGATTATGTTATATACATCATACATATTTGCGAAATTCTCAAAGGAAAATATTCAGCGATGACATTAGCCATTGGTCGAAATACGTAATTAAATTTAAATGTGTATCTTATATAATCTTAGGTAACGGCGCCATCTAGCGAACAAGTCCGCGTATTTGACCTGCCCCTTGAAGAAACGACGGAGACCGAGAGATTTATAATGCAGTTCTTCAACGACGATGCTAACATTGAAAAATTAGTTTCATTTCTCACAGTAGAAGAGAAGAAAGGCAAAGACAAGTTCAGCGGGCTGAGGTTCTCTATGTTCAAAGTAAGTAGTAGTTACAATTTTTTTTTATTTTCAGAAGGCATTGTGGCATAAAAAAACTATTTTTTTTTTATTTACTTCGTCCACGTTAAATAATGGTTTAAAAGCAATGTTGGTGTTTCATCGGCAGATGTTGTTTTCGCATTTCGGCCCGAGCGTGACGAAGAAATTAGTGGGTGCTGCACTGGAGCGTGCGAGCTCTTCGCAGGAGGCTCCACAGCGGTTCGCGGCCGAGATTGCGGCCGCCGCCCTCCGCGCCCCGAGACACTGGCCCTTCGCCCCCGCCACCGCTCTCTACGAGGACGTCGTCCGCATCCTCACCACTGGTAAGATGACTTACTACATAGATTATGCTCGCCCTTTTTCAGAGTTCGCTACCTAGACCCTTTAGCAGTGACGGCCTGAGGGTGTAACGAACAGGGTAATCGTCTGGGGCCTCGTTCTTAAGGGGAATCGATTTTACTTAGTGGCTAGGTGCAAAAACTTTCCTATTTAGGCATTTAATCGCAAATGAACAAAATTAGCAACAATAAAATATACAAATAAAAAAAAATCAAAAAGGCAGTTTTCTTGATTCAGCGCAAAATTATCGCATAATCATTCGAATCACATACTTTTCACGTAGGAGAAAAGGTCTCGCAATGTGTAAGGCCACCGCTGCCCGTTAGGGACTTGAAGGATATTCTTAAGAGCAACAGTTTCTGTCTCCTCAGGATAAAGCGTAAACTTTTTACTATGGACTAACGATTCTCTTCACCCTAATATATAGGACTGACTTCGGTGACTGTGGAGACAATGGAGGACTGGGCGACGTGTGTGGCGATGGGCGTGGACCGCATGGACCCCCTTCGGGGCGCGGCCGTCGTTCGCGGGCTGTTGTCACTTTGCGCCCCCGCCGCCCCCGTCGCCCCCGCCACCCCCGCCGCCCCCGCAGCCCCCGAAGCCCCCGAGGACTGTGAAGCCGCCGGCCCCGCAGCCCCCGCATCCTCCGCGGCGCCCGCTGACACCGACACCTCATTCGTCATTTGCGCGAGGCTTTACGCGCTACAAGTATGTTATATATACATTACCTTACTAAGTTCCCCTTACACCACTATTTCATCAATTCGTAAAGTAGTCCTACCCTGTAAATGTATGCAATTCTGTGTATATATGTAATCATAGACACCCGAGTTACTTCATAAACCGTATTGTCACTTATCCTTTTTTTCGGTTTTTGTTTTGTATATTTTCAAGAAACAAAACATTTAGATGCAATTATTGTACAGTATACCACTTATTGCAAGTAATAAATTGATATTGGATTTATTATTATTACTTATAAAATATGAGTTCTTTGTTTAGAGCGCCATTGCTACATTAAATTGGCGTGTTGCACCATTGGCATCTGAATTACTCAATCGGCTGCAAGCGGCAAACTTCACCCAACACCCATATCAAAATGTGCGCGAAATCGTCGGCAGGTAAGCATATATATATATTATAGTATTTTACACTGATACATAATAAATAAATATAATTCCATTATTTTATAATTAGTTGATCACATCATCTTCACCTATGTTCTGAATTAAACATGCGACTGACGATGTAAAAGAGAGATAGCGTATGTGTACATTTTTTAATGTAATTGTAATGGTTATACAATCTGACAGCCCACTGATGGTAGGTGTAACCGTCGTCTATACATATACATAAACAGCACTCCGCCATCACGTCGTCTTATAACACCTGTGATATCCACTCATGCGTTGCTATTTTAGAGAGGTAAGATATGTCTGTTATACTGAAACACAGCTTACGCAGCAAGCGTCAGATGACTTTGTACAAAAAATATCTTGGTTTTTAACGTATCAGAAACTTAATATCCATAAACATAGTAATACCATAGAACATATACAATAATATAAATATATGTAGCAATAATTTCAAATTGAGTTGTTCAAATGTAATAAAATATATTTATCTTGAAGTAAGTATTTTATTAATTGATTCTGATGTAACAAAACTTATTTTATGTGTCGCATTATGTTCGTCACAGCATGCTGATGACGATCTTCGACTTGGAGGTGGTGTTCCCTGGTGGCAAGGAGTGCAGTGCCCCGCGGCTACATGATTTCCTCGCCGCTGTCAAACCGCGACTCGCTGCACTATATGACGAAAATGGAGATATTGGTGAGCACTGAATACACGTGATATTGTAGTTATTTGCTATATTACACCGTTAAAACTGCTGGCAACAAATATATATTTACACTGTACAAAATGCTTTTCGATCTGAGGCACTGACTGAAAATCAGCACTGTGCAGCACATGTAAATGTTACAGTCACAGCAACTGCTGAGTCTGCCCCTTTTGCCCAGAATATGTATTTCTAGATATTGCTGTGTCTGTTTTTTTGTTTGTTAATTTATATGGGTTAATTTGGTAATTTATTTACCAGGTGTAGTGTATATGTTATTTTTGTTCTCTTAAACAGTGTATGCATGAAATTATATTAAGATTTTTCGGGCAATAAATAACTACTATTACTATACTTATTTTAATACGGCGGCTTCAATCATTTTTGTGATATATTTTAATATATTTAGATTACAATTAATATACACATGTATGTGTTAGACATACCATATTAGTATATAATAAATATGTTAGAACATTCAGTATGATGCATTGCCACCTACCGGAATCTATTATATATAATTTTAACCGTCTAAAATATTATATATGTTGATTGAAGATACACACATAAGATTACATGTAATCAGCCCAAGGAGTTAAGTGACAACTATATGTATGTACAGAAAAATTATATGGTAATTTGTCTATTGTATTGAAATATAAAAACTGTTCTATTATTATGAGGCAGAATATATAGACACTTCAAGGTAAATCCTAACGTTGTGTGTATATGTATATTATATGTATGATATATTTTAATTCACATTAAATGGTGACATTTGTATTAAATATCTTGGTACGTTTATCACAGTTGTAAAAGCTGCGACGCCCATAATTACTGGACAGTGCGTACCTCCCGAGGTGAACTCGTGCGAGCCAGCGCTCGAAACGCAAGAGGCTTCCGTCGAAGTCAGCGTCGCACAACTCTCGCCAGAAGATCATATCTCAGAAGACACGCCACAGGTTAGTTGATTAAATGTCTTTACACGACACGTCCTTTTACATAGGATCATGAGCTAACGCGATTTTGCGCGGGAATGTCAGTGTGCGCAATCGGGACTATTTTATCTTCATTCTTTCATACGTGATTATGCAAACGTTGCATGGCATTTCATTTTTTTTTTTAATTTTATTTTTATCCACAAATTTTGCAAAGACATGTTTATAATTTATAAATTGTCAATAACTCTATATTTACCTGTATGTATGTGCTATAAAACAGATATCAGCTATTTTGCTATGATAATTAATTTTACAAAAGGACGTTAAAGCACGCATCTTTTTATACACAACTACATATTATACATATAAAACATCCAGATTTAATATAAACAAGTGTTCGTATCGTCCGAGGTATCCTATGACCATATAAAGCGAGACCGGTGTGTCAAACGTTCAGGTGGACCGCCGGTTAGTTCGCTATTACCAATACGATTAAATATATACACAAATCAACAATGAAATTTAGGTGCCTAAAACATTAATAAAAGTAGAATTCACGTGTATGTGTACAGATGAGCGAGGAGAGCGAGGGCGAGTGCGCGCGTGCGGGCGTGAGCCGCGCGAGCAGGCCGGAGCCCCGGGCGGGCGCGCGGCTGCGGGCGGCGCTGCGGCTGGCCGCCGGCTGCGCGCCGCCGCCCGCCCGCCGCCACGCCGACGCCGTCAACCTGCTCACCACCGGTACGGGCCCGCGCCGCCGCCGCCACACACACATTTTTTATACGCGCTGGTTATATTTTGTAATGGATGACAATGGGACACCTACCCGTCCTACCGGCGGCGCCGGTGGAGGATGATAAAATGACTATAAGGTGACCAGGAATTTATAATGATGGCTGGTGGCCGTCGCCGTCACCCTGCTCGTCACGAATACGTGCCCACATCACCACAGCCACATTTTTTTTTAAACGGTGGTTATATTAAAATTAAAATGCCATATATGGCATGGCGTGGTACAATATTATAATATTGTATATGATTGCATTTAAGTTATATATTTTGGTGTCAATAATTCTTTTTCAATATTTTTGGACATATTTTTTTATATATTGTTGCATTAAAATACATGAAACCCTAAATTTACTCCCTTCTATCATTTTTTTCTTTCCCCCATTTTTTTATATTAATTTATATGGCATAACAAGGTTTGCGGGATCAGCCGGTTATATATGTATATAATGGTTGTAGTTCTCCGCGGCTGCATGGGCGTGGTGGTGCGCGGCGTGACTGGCGGCGGGGGCGGCGCGCGCTCGCTGCAGTCGCTGGTGCGGGACGCGTGCGCGGTTGCGGCGCGCGGGCCGCAGCTGGAGGAGTTGCCGCGCGCCGCAGCAGCCTTCCTCGCCGCCCTCGCGCTCCACCACCACCGCGCCGGACCCTTCGACGACGCCCTCGCGCTGCTTCACACGCTCGCAGATGGTAACGCACGCATATTTGTATTTTCCCGCCTCAGTCTAGTGGTATAGCATACCGCTACTTTTCGATGGTCGCCGATTCGAATCCTCGCACGGTGCGAACAGTTGTACCGTGTAGTTGTTGTCATTACTATTATTGCTCGTATCGGCTCGGGTGTTAAATTTGAACATTATTACAGTTATATTGTCAACGATTATAAATAATATTAAAAATAATATTCATCGCTCACAATTTGACCTCTGTCTTTAACAATAAACAAACCAGTATATAAGCGAATGTGCGTTAAATACATGGTAATGTGTGTAATATATTTTATTCATTTGATGTATTTTTTATGCATTATTAAAATAATATTATATATAAGTATTCTGCACTCTTTCTTTATCGAAACTAGAAGTGTGCATAAACTTTAAAATATATATATAGTAGAACAATTTTTGTCCTCATCTGTATTTCAAACGAGTGTTAGAATAAAAAGACACTATTCGGAAGTTCATATATTAAGTAAATTTAAATTTATATATCAAATATATACTACTGAGCACAGTATAAATACATATATCTCTTAAATTCTGTTTTATAAAAATATATGTATAATAATATAAACAGATCGGTCGTGGTGGGCGCGGCTGTCTTGTCTGGAATTTGCACAACCTCTACTATTCTACGGGCTGCCATTGCTGTGCGAGCAAGCAGAGCGGGCCGTTAGCGCTGAACAGTTCGCGTTAAAACTTATGCGCGATCCTAGACTTGAAGTAAGTAGACGATATTATAGATTTTTTATGTCATAGAGGGCAAGCGAAATTGCGGCACACCACCATAGCAATCGCCGCTGCAGGTGAGTTGCCGGCATTTTAAGAAATGCTGCGTAGGGGAAAGAATTAGAAAATTCATATTGTAAAACCTACTTGTAACACTGTATTCTGCAAACAAATAAATAAGAGGTAGGATAGGGAAGTGGTGCAATTGAACCTCTAACACTTTACACCTTAAGGAAAGGGTGTAAGAAGGATAGGATAAGGGAAGGAATTAGAAAAGAGATAGGGAGGAGGATAGAGGAGGGACACTTTACACCGGTATTCTGAAGAGGAAGGGAAATACCACATATTTCCCGGTTCGTGCTGCACAACTACACATATAAATAAATATAGCTTGATCTACCACATACAAACATAAATTTGATGTAAATGACTATTAGAATCTTAATGCATCTCTTTTTAGCTCTCCCAGCTACGTTTTAAAATGTAGGTAATTCATTTAAGCAATTATATTTCATACATCTACATACAATCTGAAATATAAATATTCTTTTTTTTTTATTTTAACAGGTTCGACAATCGGCAGCGAAACTACTAACTGGATTAATGCACTGCCGCGCCTTACCCGACGAGCAGCAGACGTTACGAACTCTCACGCGCAATTGTAGATCCAATGAATTGGTAGAGAGACACTGTGGTGTCCTGGGCCTGTGTTCATATCTAGCCTCCAGGCCATACAGTCTAGGCCCCAAATTAGGAGACGTGTTGGCGGAATTAGCAAAGCATACGAACGCACCGGATCCCATACCCGCTACCATCCGGAATTCACTTGCCGAATTTAGACGTACACACCAAGACGATTGGCCCAAACATCGGGAACAATTAACGGAAGAGGAACTAGATCTGCTCGCGGATTTAACCTCACCGCCTTCTTATTGCGCCTAAATTAGGATTAGTCTCTCTATAAGGCCGCATTTTTATTGGTCACTTAGTATAGTCAAGGAATGTTTAAGCAATCTCAACGAATTTTCGGAGTTCGAACAAGAAAATAACCTGTATGTTAATTATTAACTATAGGCTGACTATAGAGTTATTGGATTGGTATAAATTCGATATCGCATCAGATATATTTGATGTTTGAATATATTATTGAATTTATAATATTTGAATACTTGATGTTTCTTTTGCCTTTTCATTGCCTTATTTCGATATCATTACAATACTTTTACAGTAATTACTTTAAATACATTTCTGTATTTTTCATTTACATTTTTAATGCGTTAAAGTTTTGTCCTACCTTATTTGAGAATACTATTTGACATCATACGATCTGATTTCAATTCAAATACGCGCAAGATTCAAATACCCTGCTCATTGATTGAATTATTAATAATTACTGGATCGCAGAGAGTATTCTCCTGTGATCTTCATCAACTGTGTAAGGACCTACCAATTGCCAAAATAAACAATCGTAATTTTGTCTGTGAGGAGCACGCGCTTTGTATTGATCTAGTTGATCCAATAATAATGCGTCCTTATGCTTCATTACTCATGTACAAATTTTATTCCACGAATAGGAAGATACGGAAGATAGGTAAATTTGTTATATAAACACTGCCTTTGATTATATCATCTAATATATAATATAGTTTAAAATTTATTAAATTTCAAATCAATATAATTTGTCAGCAATAATATATATTTAATTAATTCACAATTTATATAGTTGAAGTTAGAGAAATAACAAATGAGAACGACTTTCTTTTCAACTTATTTTATATATGGTTGTGGGATTGTGTTTGAAATTAATAAAGTTAAGTAACAGCAATATCGGCAACTAATATGTACAAAAGGAGAATATAGTACGTTTAATTAGGGCATCTCTATTTTTTTTAATTTAATCTAAATATATATATATTAATAATTTATATAACTATTAATATATATATTTAGAATAAGATAATTTAAATTATCAGTGATCATCACATTACATATTACTGGTTTGAAGTAACTAATTATACAAATCAATTGTTATTAATTTTATTGTTAACAACTTGAAAAATATATTTTTTGTTTTTGATGGGTTTTAGCTATATAAATATTTAGATCTTTTTATTGTAACAAATATGTGTATAAATTTGGACTGTTTTACTATAAACATATAAGCCAATGGTTTATATTGATAGATTGTATCAGCATTTTTAATAAGGGTTCATAGGTGATTGTAAATATTATGTATAAATGTTTTTAGGAATTTAAAATAATAAAGGTAATGAGAAATTACTTGTTTTATTCATTACACAGTTTTGGTATACATACAGCTCAGAAATTTAATTACAACAAACAAATTTTACCACTAAAGGCTTAAGCAGATAATGGACTTCGTTCATTTACGATTAACGAACCCTTCGAGCCATCGACAAATACGTCACATGTTGAGGGGAATGGAGGGTCTCTACAAAGTGACGTGTGACAAGGGGAGAGGTAGACATCTTAAATTTCGTGACGTCTTATTTCAAAATCAAATATATTACCGTATTATATTTTGTTGACGAGTTTACACTTAGTAGTAGAATTTTAGTTTAGTAGCAGTAGTAAAATTGCAAAACAGGTGACGTTATATTTGGGAGGGGGTTGGCTCACAAATATGACCAACTATGACAAGGAAGGGGTAAAAATCGTAAACCATAAACATAATTTATGGATGGGCTAGATGACTTGTCGTTTATCCACTCATATGCACAATGCAATTCTGTATTTTGTTTTATTACAACAAGAATGTTAAGGTTTTTCTTTAGTCCCTCATCTGCATCAAATATAATTAAGTAATTAGCTCATTTAATAGTATGCACATTTAATAATAAACTCTAATTTGAAAATCAACAAAAATGTAAAATCAATAAGTAAGCGTGTGGTACATCAATTAGTATAGCAAGAGACAAAAAGTCAATATAAATAAACATGAAAAAAATTATTAAAATAAGAACTTTAATGACACAAAAATAATCACAACAAAGACAGAGGAAACACTAAACTTATTGTTGCATATTTTTGGAATTACACTAATTAGTATTGCTCTAGGTTACCTTCTATCTTCAACATCTGCAATAATAAAAATATAATTGTATAGTAAATAATAGAACATGTAACAAGTAAATATACATTTTGACATAGTAACAATGTACCTGATAAAAGTTTAGGTACAATTCTGACATTTTTTAAGTGTTAGCTGTTTGTTCATGTAGAATACATGAAGCATTATGGTATTTTAGATCATTTAATGACGACTGAACTGACATATGAATATGGAAACTTGACATATTTATTTAGCATTACAACATTGTCAGCCACTTGAATTAACATCAATAATATATTATAATAAAATGCAAACTTACTTTTTCCATCACAAGCTACAATTTTCACTTTGTCCACCTTAGCAACTTCTTGCATTTCTCTAAATTCTACATCATTCAACATAAAAGTCCATACATTATCACAAAATCTGAAACCAATATAAAATTTCATACATAAGTAATTTTTTTAGGTATAACAATAGGATAATATAGAATACTGAAGAAGTTAGGTTAGCACATGGCACCAACTATGTAAAATGATCTTTTTTGCAGTTCAATTAAAGCTACTCGCCCCGACTTCACCGGGTGTTGATGTATTATATTGTGCCTACACTTGTAATATTTCTGTCGACACTTGAGACACTTCCATTAGTTTACGTCTCCACTAACATAGATTTAAGTTAAGTGTAAAAATTAGTCTGCGTCCCAACTCCGCATCAACTGTACCCATTATTAATAAACCATGTAGCACACTACCAATAAACTTAATAATGTACAATAAATAGTGCAATCGTTTTACCAGTATAGTCTCTACCTACATACTAAAATAAATAATATAATATGTAGCGCCACCTCATTACAACATATATAACGCAACAGTGATGAGGATAACCACCGCCTTACAATATATTATATAACCAATCCTTTTGAATCACTCTATCAATTAAAAAAAATGGTCCAAAATCCATTGCAAGATTTAAGCATACATAGGGACAGACAGTGACAGCGACTTTTTTTTACTCTATGTAATAAAGTAAAAGAACCATGAATATCAGAAAAGACATTGTAATATTAATTTCTTGTAACTTCAAATTGCAAATTGATATATTAAGTCATAAAATATACACATATAATCATAACTCCTTCTGATGTAAATGGTTACCATAACATATAACCTTATACATCAGATGGGTGTATGACTATATTATTGTATATGACTTTGATTGCTACCATCATCTGCTTCATCCTTATCCCATTTATTTGGGGTCGGCGTAATATGTTTTTCGTTTCCATTTATCCCTGTTTGATTGCTACCACTATAGTATAAAGAAAATATAATTTGATCACTAAGTCCCACTTTTCTGGATCACAACTAACAACTATTAGCAGCAGAATTAGGTGAAACAGAAGCAGTCCCACAGATTACTTTATATGGTTTGTAGTGGTAGGAATATTAATTTTGGTACACATTAACATGAAAAGTATATATAAAAAATATTCATATTTAGTTTACATACCTGTAGGTATTTAATTTTCCTGCTTTGAACGTTAGTCTTGATTTTACTCTATTAGACAATGCCTGGTTGATAGATTTGTCAAATTGTAGCAATACTTTCACTGCTAGTGCTGGGGTTATCTGTCCATACTAAAAAAAAGTATATTATATATAGTTATCGATCTTTATAATATGAAAAAAGGAATCGTAAACAAAGCGGTAACTATTAAAAAAATATAAAACTCACTTGTATTAGTTCGTCAAGACTCTCTTGTAATGTATTGCCGATTGTAGTATTTCTGTATAATTGATACGACATTATTCTAATGATTATAGATCGTTTCTTTCTAAAGCACAAAATTAAGGTATTATTATTTTATTTTCTTTTGTTTTTATAAATTCTTTGATATCGCTTTAAAGCTTCTTGTCAAAAATACAAATGACAAGCAATGACAGAATTGACATGACAGATTGAACTGAAAGAATTCATTCTTTCACCATAGGGCACTGAGTAATAGTTCTATAAAACGATTGATCGGTTCTGGAAACATGACAGTTTGCGTCGATCTATATAATATTCATAGAGTAGCTTAGACACTAAATTGTGTCGCTTAGCCAGTTTCGTGTGAGATAGGCCTAAGAAGTTTTTATATTTTCTCATAGGGTTAGTATAAAAAGCAATACCCATTATTAGATAAGAGAAAGCATTATTTGGCTTATACAGCAGGCATAGAACACATTCATTAGAATTAGAAATTTATATTAAAATTTCAGTTTAGTTTATTATAAGTTGTATAATATGGCTTTGACTCAAAAGCCATCTCTTTATTTCTTTGCTTCAGGAAGACGTTTATAAATTTGTGTACAGAAATAAAAACCTTTTTTTTACACATATTAGTTCTTGGGAATATATATCTGTTTGAATATCTTGTATTTCGCGGGTAATGTTCTTTAGCATATAGGAAAATTTTTGAATACACTCATAATCAAATCAAATACAATAATTTCAATAATATACATGCAGCATAGTGGAACAATTTTATATAGCGGATGCAATTTTCCTGTACTTAGAAAGCTATTTCTATATCGGTAGAATTAAGCCATACTATTAACCCTTAAATAATCCATCGTTAGCAATGCGGGTACCAGGGTCGGGGTGACCTCCAACCGATGCCTTCTGGAAATCGTCGTGATAAGGTCCTGGAGAGGGGGGAAATGGGATTGTTAGTAATGTGGACTAATGAACCCATTACTAGCAATATACCATATCAGGTTGACCTCCACGCGGTTCCCCCTGGAAACCATCGTGTTAAATTCCTGGTGAATTTGTCACGATGGGCTAACTGACCTGACCTTATGCTCATATTATCACCCTCCACTGGTGCCCCGCCAGCGTAAACCGTTAGCGCAGGCGGATGCACCATTCCATTATCACATACAAAAAAAAAAGGTCCTGGAGAATTTGTCATGTTAAATTTGTGTAAAATATTATATACCTTCATAGGTACATATGTACCTAGAAATATTATATCTATATAGAAATATTATCATATTTCATCATGATTTCTGAAGGTATGTACATATATAAACTAGGTCTGCTTAGCATGCTAGGCTATTGTAATTGTTAGTAGACAACCTGATAGAATCATACTTATGAATACAAATGTTTGCGTCGCGAAGTCGAATCTGCGGCCATTGAAGTAAGATGATGCTAGACCAACGAGGTCTTCGTAGGTATAGTCATATTTTTAATTAGACGAAGTCAACTGACGTTTACTGTGTTGTCAGTATTTGATGAAATAAAAATAGTGTTGTGACAAAGTGAATCATTGAAAAAACTCCTGAATTAATGGAATTGCCTCGATTGTCTAGTGAATAGTTAGTGTGCCGAACTGCCGATATCGGGTACGGGGTTTGAATTTTAGCCGTGCTTTATACATACCAACGAGTTTACGACGATTATGTTCCTATTGTATCTACCTATACTGAATACCGAGTATTTTAAACGTAAAGAAAAAATTGCGTGGAAACTTTTAAGACTGTCCTAATTACAATTCATAATGTAATTGAAACTATAGATGTACAAAATATAACAATATATAACATAATATAGTTAGGTAATAAAAATAAAAAACTGCGCTTATTACAAAATTTGTTTTTATTCATCATCAGATAAAAAAATCATTGTCGCTTTCAGTGACATTAATTATAAATCTGTCTAAAAATTGATAATAATTTATCTTTGAAACAGTGTTTCGCTCCACGTTTCTCCGGAGACTTAAATTGTTCACTTTGTATTATTTTAATACATTGTAGACTGAGGTCACACCAATTCCCAAAATGTCAGCTGTTTTCGAAATACATTTGTTTTTTTGGGAGCCTCAATAGGTAATAGTGAAGCAGCTTTCTCAAATACGTATTTGTAGACGTTTTGTATCATAAGTTTTTCGGTAACGTCTTTCTTGGAGACAAGCTTTGGCTTGACGTGCTTGGTTGAGGATCCATATTGTTTGTATGAAACAATATAGTAAATATACAATATACCCAACAATTACCACAAACACAACATGAGGAAAAACTTAATAAAACAGCGTGAGCGCAAAAAAAAACATTGGTGCTCTCAGACCAGAGGTTAGAAGCCGAATTACGAACAAAATGGCGACCGACGCTCGCGACGTTGATTTGTGTTGGCACTAGTAGCCGCGCGCTTTGTAATAAGCCGTCAAAAAACTGATTGTAGTTACTAGTAACTTATATCAGAGCACTTTTATACAATTTTCTTTTGTAGTTTGTAATGATTAACTATTCACACTCATTGTTCATTCATCTAACTGAGAACTGAACGCATCACTATTACTTTAAATATGGCAACATTATTTTACAATGTGACATTAGCTACTGTCAGCTAGCTTCGTCTAATTAAAAATACGACTATACATATATGGTTTTATTTTTCCCTAAATCTATGTGAATATTAGAAATATAAGATTAATTTAGTGTTTGTTTTTCTTTCATTTAAATATAGATGACCCTTGGAAGACATCGACTAATCGCTATAATAAAAAAGGGGTTGTGTTATGTGGGATGTGTATGTTAAGGGAATGTGTTATTGAGGATGAATAAAAATGAGAATCAATCTCAATTCTCAGTATTACAATATGTATTAGTAAAGTATCTGCAACTCTAGTAAGCCAAGTTGTATTCTTTTTTCCTTATCGTACACAAAATTAAAAAAAATCATTTTTCTGTATCAGAAAATCCAAGTGTTTCTATAAGACCGGGAGCTTCGTTTCAGTGTAAAGCGTATAGGGTACGGGTAACAGTTTACCATCAGATAGGCAACAAGCATACGGCTTGTTTGCCACTGTCGTGACGTAGCGATGAGGTTATCACCTCACCACTAGTGTTATAGGTGTGATGTGAGGAGGTGTCGCTACATAATATATATTGTTTGTGGTAGTGATAATAGAGGTAGAATAATTTTATGGATAGAGTGGTACACGACTTATTAATAACGCGCACATTCGACTCGAATTCTACATCCCGAATAGACTGACTTTACACATGTTATCTGGAGAGGTAACCTAATGGGAGTGTGTCGAGTGTTGACAGAAAAATTACATGTGTAAGCACAGTGATATGTACAATGTAGTTAATTAACCAAGAATAAAGAACAAAATTAAAGTACAATACTAATACAAATTAATTGTTTATTTGGCTATAAATGAAATTTCAAATCCTAATTACTATATTTAATTACATTAATTTGATTGAATAATGAAGAATTTGATAAAATTTATTGGTTGTATAATAAGTATAATTTTAATTGGCAACTGATCCGTCTGCTAGAAGTAGCAGGTATTAGGAGTGCAGAACCCTCGGAGACCTCCGGATTGTAATTTGATACTGAAATATAAATAAAAACATTCGTTATTCATAACCATTTCTTTTTTAAACTTGGGTTCGGACTTCATATGCGGAGGTCAAAAATGTAAGTTTTTTTTTATAACCATGCCTTTTTTTATAACTCTACTACACTATGACGCTACTAGGATGGTAGTAATGGTTCTAAAATAATTTTACATAAATTGTTTGAAAGAGATAATTTGTATAAAGTATCTTGGACATGAAATCTATAAAGTAATCTTTTAAAAAATTATAACTTACATTTTCTTTTTCTTTTCCATCCCATTTTGAGTTTTCTTTCTTCACTGTACCCCGCATCTCATATTTTATTGATATTATTATTATCCTCATTTTTTATGTTAGTTATATTCTAATCAGGATATTACCTCCGTTTCCATCGTAAATCTTCTTTATTTCCTTTTTTTTTATTATATTTTGGATATAGCTTCTGAAGTCATCGTTTATTAGTTTCTTCGCGGGCAGTCCAAATTTACGTCACTTCTGCAGTCTTCTTTCTTCTTATTCCATGCTTCTTGTTCACTCTTCATTCTTTGTCACGTCGGTTCTGGAGTATTCTTTCTTCATCTTTGCTGCATGGTCAAGTCTTCTCTTTTCTATACTTTGCTATTAGAGTCTTCCTTTTCTATTTTTTTCAGTTCTCGTCCATGTTTCATTCTTCGTCGTCTCCGTTTTAAAGTCTTTTTCTTCATCTTCTTCGCTACACGGTCAAGTCATCTCTTTTCTTCACATTACTTCTGAAGGCTTTACAGTCGAGTCTTCTCTCGTCATCTTGTTACTTCTAAAGTCTTCTGCCTTCTTCTTCGCTCTCCGCCGGTTATTGTCTCTTTGATACGTCATTTTTACGTCTCCCTTCCAAATCTTTATTAGAAGTCTTCTTTCTTCATTTTCTTCGCCTCACGGACAAGTCTTCTCGCTTCGTCACGTCGCTTCTGAGGTCTTCTTTCTTCGCCGTCCTCGTTCCCACCCAGTCTTCTCTCTTCAATACATCGCTCCTTTCATTTTCTTCGCCCCATTACATTGTTCGTCACATCGCTTCTGGAATTTAATTTCTTCTCTTCTCTGCTCCCCGCCCAGTCAACTTTCTTCGTAATATCGCTTCTGGAATCTTCTTTCTTCATCTTCCTCGCTCCTCGCCCAGTCTTCTTTCTTCATCTTCCTGGCTACCCGTCCAGTCTTCTTTCTTCATCTTCCTCGTTTCGCGTCCAGTTATTTATCTTTATCATCTTGCCTTCATGTCCATTCTTCTTTCTTCATCTTCCTAGCTCCTCGCCCGGTCTTCTTTCTTCATCTTCCCCGCTACTCGTCCAGTCTTCTTTCTTCATCTTCCTCGTTTCCCGTCCAGTTATTTATCTTTATCATCTTGGCTTCATGTCCACTCTTCTTTCTTCATCTTCCCCGCTACTCGTCCAGTCTTCTTTCTTCATCTTCCTCGTTTCCCGTCCAGTTATTTATCTTTATCATCTTGGCTTCATGTCCATTCTTCTTTCTTCATCTTCCTAGCTCCCAGTCCACGCTTCTTTCTTCATATTCTTCGCTCCTCGCCCAGTCTTTTTTCTTCATCTTCCTCGTTTCCCGTCCAGTTATTTATCTTTATCATTTTGGCTTCATGTCCATTCTTCTGTCTTCATCTTCGTAGCTCCCAGTCCAGTCTTCTTTCTTCATCTTCCTCGCTCCTCGCCCAGTCTTCTTTCTTCATCTTCCTCGCTACCCGCCCAGTCTTCTTTCTTCATCTTCCTCTTTTCCCGTCCAGTTATTTATCTTTATCATCTTGGCTTCATGTCCATTCTTCTTTCTTCATATTCCTAGCTCCCAGTCCAGTCTTCTTTCTTCATCTTCCTCGCTCCCCACCCATCCAGTCATCGGTCTTCGTCTTCTTGGTTCCACGCCAGTTATTCTTTCTTCATCTTCCTCGCTCCCCGTCCAGTCTTCTTTCTTCATCTTCCTCGCTCCCCATCCAGTCTTCTTTCTTCATCTTCCTCGCTCCCCGTCCAGTCTTCTTTCTTCATCTTCATGGCTCCACGCCCATTCTTCTTTCTTCGTCTTCCTCGCTCCCCGTCTAGTCAACTGTATTCATCTTTTCGGAACACGCTCATTTTCCTCTCTTCATCTTCCTTGCTTCTCGTCCAGTCTTCTTTCTTCTTGTTCATCGCTCTCCGTCCAGTCATTTGTATTCATCTTCTTGGCTACACGTCCATTCTTCTCTCTTCATCTTCCACGCTCCCCGATCAGTCTTCCTTCTTCATCTTCCTCGCTCCTCGTCCAGTCTTGATTCTTCAACTTCTTGGCTCTACGCCCATTCTTTCTTCATCTTCCTCATTCCTCGTCGAATCTGTTTTCTTCATCTTCTTCGATCCCCGTCCAGTCTTCTTTCTTCATCTTCCTCGCTCCCCGTCCAGTCTTCTTTCTTCATCTTCCTCGTTCCCCGTCCAGTCTTCTTTCTTCATCTTCCTCGCTCCCCGTCCAGTCTTCTTTCTTCATCTTTTGGAGACTTCCTTCGGTCTTCATTCTTCGTTAAATATCTTCTGTAGTCTTCTTCGCTACATGAACAAGTCTTCTCTCTTCTTCAAGTCACTTCTTTCTTCATCTTCACTGCCAGGTCAAGTATTTTCTCTTCGTAACAACATTTGTAGTCTTCTTTCTTCTTGTTTATCGTCTTAAAGTAGTAGTATTGTGTCAAGTATTGGTGTCTCCTTTTGTCTTCATTATCCGGTATTCATTCTATATTTCTTTCCGCTACCCGTACTGACCTTTCATAGACACGTTGCTTCTGTTGTCTTTTATTCTTCTTCTTCGCTGTATATAGTCTTATTTCATCGGTATGTCGCATTTAAGATTTCGAATTTTCGCTTTGGAGAGGTTTGTCTTCTTTAGGCTCCGCCTCCAGTCCTTTCTATCCCGCACGTTGCATCTGTAGTCTTCTTTCTTCATCTTCTTTGCTCCAGTCCAAGTCTTCATTCTCCCCCATGTCGCTTCTGGCTTTTTTTCATCTTCGTTCACCGCCCCAATCTATTCGCTGCTCATCCAAGTGTTCTCTTCTTTTCTTCTTCTCGTCTTTCATCGTCGCGCAGACTCTTCGCTTTATATCTTATATTATATTGATATTTTTTTATAGTCATTTTGTTTAATTGTTACCATATTTTCTCTTTTTATTCTAAACACTTTATTGTTTTTTATATAGTTTATATTTTTTTATCAATTGTTTTTTGTTATAAGTTTGTAAATGATTTATTTTTTTATATGTTTTTACATAATTTTTATTCATATAACATTATGGTAATAATTGTTTTGTCATTATTTACTCTTTAGCCTGTGAAAATAGAAATATTAGTGTAGAATTTGCAGGACGCCATCATCCGTCTTGACATTTAATGTTGGCCATATTTCAATTCTGTAGGCAGCTAGTTTCTGAAAAGAATTGTTTTTAGCGGCAGATTTTGTTTGTATTCTTTTGGATCCGTTGCTTCACCTTTCGCCTTGTTTTAATTCCAAGTGATTTTAATATCATATTAGTCTATTATAGAACTGATTATTCCAGCGATTATAAATCAATATTTTTCGCCGTTATTACTCGAGACTTTGCCTGCTGCTTTCTACTTTTTTGGTAATAAATTATTTAATTTTAATTTAATATTTCATTCATCTGTGTACTGTGTAATGATTTGTCCTGTAATGCAATGTAATTATGTCCTGCCGACAAAGATTAGATTTGGCAACTTACCTCTTTTAAATGATAATTTACCGATATGTGAATTCATTTGATCGTACCTATTAGTTGTTCATTGTATACCAATTAATTGTATTGTTGTATTGTATCCATTGTAACCAACTTTTTATAAAATACATAAAAATATTTAGAATGATAAGGTAGCAAGATATTTAATTAAATGAATATTTGTAATGGCTCCTAATCTTCCAGTTTCATATTCCTGTAGAAACCTGTAAGTATTTAACTCACCTCGGAGAAAATATTTCCCTGCTAATTATTTACTTGTAAGGAATCGTCGTATACTTATAACAATACATTATTTTATCACAATGTTCTTTGAAATTTTAATACCATCGGCATTTATTATATTTTCAATAATTTAAATCCAACTATTTATATATCCGAGACGGCAGTATGATTTTGTTATTTATCATGTATGGCCCGATAAGATTTCTTATTCTTTGTGTCCTGAAATCTTTTATACATATCTCTATTTCAAGTTTTTTATGCTAAATGTTATTAAAAATTTACTGCGAGCTTGTATTTAGGTTTTCTTACTATTTGTAACTTTATTCTTTTTGTCTAATTATTTCCGGAGTCGTATCATTGTTTTCATATTACTTATTCCTGAAACCGAGACTTAATACCTATGCTTACTTACCCATTCCGTAATTAAAGTGATAGAACATGATTTTGTTCAAATAGATACATTGTTGAGATTCAACATTTGCTGATGAATATTAATTTTTCTGAATATTTTAATTTATTTATTTGACTTCAGTAATAGCTTTGACGAATACTTTTTATGAATTTGTAATATAGTTAATATCTGAAAATTAAAGTTACTTGGAAAGGAACAAAAATACTTAATGTATTTTTGTATTTATCTGAAAGGGACTAGATTTAGCGTGCACTGTATAAGCTATTGTTTAAATAGTAATAAAATCGATTTTTTTTATACATAACGACATAAGCTATTAAGTAAAATATTATACAGATAAGAAATTATAGACTAGTATCACACCTATGGCTAATATGCTCACCAGTTCTTAATTACATAAATGATGATATGATTTGTGTCAATTATTATTTTCCTCCATTTTCAAGGGACGTAGGCAGTTATCAGTTGTCGGCAACTTAATAACAGGAGAGGGCCAGAGATACTTGGTGACTCGATTAAAATCTGTTTTCTCGGTACAAAAGCAGTATAACAGCGATCGTCATGAGTTTTATGATAATATTTATAACCGATAGATGAGCGGCAACTATTAACAAATTAAAGACAGCACGGTAAAGGGGCGAATGGACGCCCAAAAAATAGCACACCAATACATGCATATTCTGAATTAAATTTCAAAGAAGTATTGATCACAGATAAGTAATTGATTAGTGCTTGTATACCAAGAGGATGATATTTGAACTTCTTACATCAGCATTTCATACTATCGTTAGGTTCAGCTTTCGTCCAGACTTCGCAAATCGGCAAAGCAGCATTCGATTTTGTAATTTATTCATATTGGCATAATGCACTAATAGTGTAGTTTACGTACCGGATAAACGGCGACACAGGATGTCACTGGATAGTACTACTCCTCGTTCAATAACTATTAAGAATAGTTTACCGTCTTTGGATAGCAGGTGGCCAACGCTAGCTCATTACGTTGGTTCTTGGCAACAACCGAT